CAACCCTAACCCTAACCCTAACCTTAACCCTAACCCTAACCTAAACCCTAACCCTAACCCTGCCCCTAACCCTAACCCTAACCCTAACCCTAACCCTAACCCTAACCCTAACCCTAACCCTAACCTAACCCTAACCCTAACCCTAACCCTAACCCTAACCCTAACCCTAAACCCTAAACCCTAACCCTAACCCTAACCCTAAACCCTAACCCTAACCCTAACCCTAACCCTAACCCTAACCCTAAACCCTAACCCTAACCCTAAACCCTAACCCTAACCCTAACCCTAACCCTAAACCCTAACCCTAACCCTAACCCTAACCCTAACCCTAACTTAACCCTAACCCTAACCCCTAACCCTAACCCTAACCCTAACCCTAACACTAACCCTACCTAACCCTAACCCTAACCCTAACCCTAACCCTAACCCTCTACCTAACCCTAACCCTAACCCTAACCCTAACCCTAAACCCTAACCCTAACCCTACCCTATCCCTAACCCACCTAACCTAACCCTAACCCTAACCCTAAACCCTAACCCTAACCCTAACCCTAACCCTAACCCTAACCCTAACCCTAAACCTAACCCTAACCCTAACCCTAACCCTAACCCTAACCCTAACCCTAACCCTAACCCTAACCCTAACCCTAACCCTAACCCTGAACCCTAACCCTAACCCTACCTAACCCTAACCCTAATAACCCTAACCCTATACGTAACCCTATACGTAACCCTAACCCTATACTTAACCTTAAGTATAATTAACTTAACTTAATTAATTAACTTAACTTACTTAATTACTATTTATAAAAATATTTAATTCTTCTTGAAATCGATCAGGAAGCCTCCAAACAAAGACCCTTCTATCAAACTACTTTTTTACTCTTCAGTTATTTATTATCACATTGAACGTGCTGTTATTAATTTTGGTAGCCGATTGATTCAAAGCTTAGTTAAATAGGTAAGTATATATTGATAAAAACATATATAATATATAGTAATGAAGAAATCTGCATGTGCGATGGCATATTACTCAAATGTATAACAGACAGCTTCTATTGAAGTAAAACTTGTAGATATCAATGTGTGAGTATGTAAGTAAGTAAATAACTAAATAAGTAAGTAAGTAAGTAAGTATGTAACATCCTTCACTGTTACATCTTTACATTCATTCAATCTATACTTTCTTATTCATATCTGTTTTCGTTTCACGATTCTATCTTTTCTTCCTTCTTTCTCTTTTCCTTTTCATTCTCATATTTCTCTCCGTTCTTTTCTGTTTTTCTTTTCGAATTGCTTTGGTTTCTGTTATCTATTCCAATTTCTATTATCATCATTCAGATTCATGTTCTTATGTCTCTATTGTACAGTTTCTTCTTTCCCATTATCAGACATCGGCTTGCTTGTCACAAATGTCCTTTTTCCCATTGCCAAATTTCCAAATTTCCTAACCCTTATTTGAATCTCAGTTTGCTATTTCCATTTCCCGACACAACCAGGCAGAGTACCCTTTGCTCCTCAAATACAGTTAGCAAATTCAATCCGAATATCATTCACAATTCCAAAGCCTTTTCCATTCCAGTCAGTGTTCCTTTCCAATCAGTGTTCCATTTCCTATTCCAGAACCGTTTCATTTGCAGTCACTGTACCATTTACTTTTCCAGAACCTTTTCCATTGCAATCACTGTACCATTTGCATTTCCAAGGCGTTTTCTATTTACTTACTTACTTTTACTTCCTTACTTATTTACTTACTTACTTTATCGCTATTGCTATTCTCCTTTTGCTCATTCACAAATGTCCTTTTTCCCATTGCCAAATTTCCAAATTTCCTAACCCTAACCCTAACCCTAACCAGAACTGTACAAGATTCAGAACCAGAACTTTGCCAGAAGCAGAACGTACCTAGAACCAGAACCAGAATAGAACAAGAACAACAGTAAGAGCGAGTGCAGGGATCAGAACCCTAACTTGACCAGAACAAGAATCAGAACCCAAAGCTTGCTTCAAACATAACGTGTGACGTGGGAAATGTTCCTATCAAAAGATAGAAGCCGTGCTTGGGGCTTGATGGAAATTTTAAAAGCTGAACACAACGAACTGTCGCGTTGGAGGGTTCATGTCGGATGCAATGTCATTTGCAGTGGTGTATGATGCTTATTGTAGTGGTTGCTCTTGTAAGCTGGCTCCTTGCATACATGGTTGGTGTTCGTACTGGCTTCGAAAGTAGTAAATTGGCTGCCTGTTGTTGTTGCGCATGCATGCGGCACCTTCATGGAAACTCGGGTCTTGCGCTGCTGCGTCTCCTTGTATGTGGACGGCGACCAATAGTGTATTGGTTTTCCCGGGAGCGGCGAGCATCACAGCGGTGGCTTGTAGTAGAGGTTGGGAGCAAATTGGATCCTTGGTTTAGAGGTTGGCGACCAAACAGGCATGGTATAGAGTTCAATGGTCGCCGGTTGGACTGGCTTTTTGCTGGAAATGTGGTCTTCGTGATTGAGGAAATGGCGTTGGATAGCTGTCTTCGCGATAGATGTGACGGAAACGTTGCTCATTCATGCTGTCAGCGTTGTCGGCGATATTGCGTTTGGGGTCAATTGCTGGTCCAAAAATGGTTCTTGCATTCAGTGCGCAAACATGCAAAGAGTGGTCGGAAAGCGGCGGCGTGGAGACCTTGAATTAAATTCTGGGATCGTGGCGGCTGAACAATATATTGCTGTGCTTTCCGTTGACACAGGCAAAGGAAGTTAAGATGGCCTCGTTGTATGCGCAGCGTGGCTGGGAATATTTCTCATAGTCAGCGGCCATGAAAATGGGGATGGTATATTGTCGTCGGCTTTGTATCCTGGTCAGTGGGCGGGAAGCTGTGGTAGCGTCTAGTAGATGCTGGGGAGTATCGTGGGATCCCTTGGTGTAGAGGTTGGCGGGCTTTGGTACTTAGTTCAGCTTAATTGTTGGTCTTCATGCAGGAAGCGGCATTGTCGGAGAGTAAAATATTGTTGACTTCGCGGTAGTAATTGTGACCGAAACAGGAGTCTTTCATGCTGTCTGTGGCGTCGGCAATAAATTGTGTTTGGGTGCATGCAGTCGCTGTCTTTACAGGGTCGAAAATTGGCTCATTCAATTCATGCATCAGTCGGCAACCAGAGAGCCGTCGGAAAGCGGCGTCTTGAATTCGCGAGTCGAGAGACCATGGTGGTACCTTTCTGGTTGTCAGCGGCCGAGGATCATGCAAAATGGGATGATAATTGTCGTCGGCTTCCCATCCTGCTGGCCAGCCATGTAAAGAAGGTGGTTTCTTGTTGGCGACCTTCGCGTTGTCGGCAAAGGCGTGATGGTAGCTGTAGGAATTAGTGTCGGCTTTGACTATTTCAGGAGTAGAGAGGAGGTTACCGTCGATCTCAAGCTCGGACCTGTCGTCCCACTGCGTTCCTTCGTCGTCAGCCAAAGATGGTTTCGTGTAGTCGTTGGCGACCAAAATAGGCTCTCCATTGGGTGCTTTGCCGTGCTTGGTTTGGCTTTGACTATGGGCGCTGAATTGGCTGGGGTTTGGCGTCGCCGTCATTGTTGTTTTATTGTTGATCTCGTCGGCGGAAAATAAATGCGAAAGCTAGGTCTCGATCATGGACATGAATTTTGTCGTTTGAGATCGTTCTTCTTAACTGGTGGGCCCGTCGTCGTTCCTGGGAAGCAGCGTGAAGTGAGGCGGCTCATTAATTGTGAAGGTCGAAAAGAAAGTCTTTATGCATATGCTGGAATTTCGTGCATTGTCGTTGCTGCACGAAAGAGAAGGTTGAGGGTTGAAGACTGGTAGATCGATCGATTTGCTGGTCTGTGTTGGTGGAAGAGATGTGGATCTGTTCGTCGCTCATCGTCGAAGGTGAATTTAAGCAGCCGGCGCCTTCATCGTAGAGTGTGGATCGATGCATGGATAGTCCTCATCAAAGCATCCGCCGTCGTTGGAAAACTGTCCGTGTGCCATGAGGGTGGTTTTGTCAAACCAGCCGTTGTCAGATCAACAGAACATTGAAACGACAAACCGTACCAGGTATACTATGGCTGGCAGTTGCTGATCAGGGTGCATGGTTGCATCAAAAATAAACGGCCGTTGTCGGGTCAACCATGAGCCATCGAGAAAAACGGCTTTCCATGCATGCATGCAGCCGTTGTCGCGATAGCCGTTGTCACGAATCGAATGAATCATTTTATTTTAAAAAGGGGGAATGCGGTGACTAACCAAGCCGCGAGAGGTGCTTTTATATTTTGTGCTTTCAAAAGACGGCCCATGGACATGCATGTACGGTACGGGTACTGCAGTATGGCATACCCCTATCGATAACTTTGCGGTAAACCCAATTCACACACCGAAACTTGCAGAATGCAGGTTCTAATGAAAAGGAAGTTGTCAGGTCAGCAGTTTGAGTTGATGCGTTCGATTTACAGTTTGAATTTTCTACGAGTAATTTGTAGAGTTTTGCATTACAATAGTACATTATTTGTTGTGGCACTTTTCCTTTTCCTTCCTTCATCAACAATCGTGCCGTACTAGCAAAGATAATGATAACAAGGTGCTCTCGGCAACAACAACAGCACTCCGTGTCCGTCCTGACATACAAACACGGACGAAAGTCTATCCAATGGCACGGCTTCTCCGTGTAGCTGATTTCGTCTTCCGCATGTCTTCGGCCTTTTGGAGACTCTCGATAGCTTCGCGTTCTGCAGCTTCAAATTCCCGACGCCGTGCTTCCATGGCGGCCTTGCGAGCTTCGGCTTCCTTTCGCTGTTGCTCAGCCTGTATCTCCTCCAATCGATCAATATCTTCATTTGCTTCTTCCAACAGTCGTCTGGTATCCCTCAGCTTGAGCTCGACAGCACCCTTTTCTTGCTTAGACGTCATCAAGTCCTTCTCTACAGACGCCTTGGCATCCCTTTCAGCAGCAATGTCAGCCAGCAGCACTTCCTTCTCCTTTGCCGCGGCACTCAAATCGTCTCGTAGACCTGCCGTGTCCTTCTTCGATTCCGCAAGGTCCTTTTGTAGGCCTGACTTGTCGGCATTCAAGGCTTCGATCGTTTTGTTGAGTTCTTCGATCTGCGCTTGCAGTTGGCTGTTAAGGGTATCCAATGCCGACAATTCCTTTGCTGCCTGCTTGGCCTCTCCATGCAATTGGTTGATCTCGTCTTCCCTCTGATAGATCTCTTCCTTTTGGTCACTGTTTTCTGCCAGCAGCTGCGCATTAACGGACTGAAGAGCTTTCACATTCTCTTGTGCACTTCGAAGATTGCGACCCATGCGCTTTTCCTTGGTGACCAAGGTGCGTTTTTCCACTGTGATTTGCTCGCACATCGCAGCTGCTTGTTGCATCAGGTCCAGAAGATTTTCTTCTTTGGTCAGCTCTACCAATGAATCCGACATGGAGTAGTTATCAGCATTTTGACGAGCTTGTGGTGGGCCAGTCTTAATCTCGGTTGGGATGTCTTTGTCTCTTTTTGGTTTGGAAGCGGTTCGCCTTGCAGCAGGCCGTGGCGCTGGAACCGGTGCCGCTGCTGGCTGTGGCGCTGGAACTGGTGCTGCTGCTGGCTGTGGCGCTGGAACTGGTGCCGCTACTGGTGTTTCCACCGGCTGTGCGGCTTGCTCTGGAATTGGGGCAGCTACAGCTGGTGCTGGCGCTGGCGCTTGCGGCAGAGGCTCTGGTGCTGGCACTGGCGAAGGATCAGCAGGGGCAACCGGATCGGGGGTTGGGGCTGGGGCTGGCGATGGCGTTTCAACTGCTTCGGGTGCCAGGATTGGTGGTGAAGCCATCACTGGTTCTGGAGCAGGTGCCTCGGCAGGCACTTCGGGAACTGGCGCTGCGGCTGGGGCTGTTGCAGGAATATTCTCGGGTGCTTGGGGTTCTGCTGGAGCTGGGGCTGGGACTGGCTCTGGCTCGGGTGCTGCGGGCAAAGGTTCTGGTGCCGGTGCCGGTGCTGGTTCTGGTGTCAGCAGCGCCGGTGGTTCTTCAGGCACTGGAGCCACAGCTTCTTCAGCAAGAATAGGAGGCATGGCCCTAGCAGAAATGGTAGGCGGCGTGACAGCCACTTCAGGCACTGGAGCCGCAGCTTCTTCAGCAGGAACGGCCGAAATGGTAGGCGGCGCGTCTTTGGGGGCCTGAGGCATTTCTCCTGGAGCATCTATCGGAGCCGCTGCTGGAGCATCCACAATGTGTTGGACAAGGTGAGGGTACAACTTGAAGAACATGTGATCCAAGCTGCTAAGGATGCTCGAGTCTCTGTTTTCTGGCGGTGTGGTCAAGCACACGACATGGAGCCGATTGATGATTTGGAGTAGGCATTGATAGAACTTGGACGTATCTTGGTCAGGCGGCTCCATACATTCATCGCAGAAATCTTCATAGGTAGCAACCGAAGCCTTGTCCAGCAAGTGCAGGTTCAAGCGCAACAGCTGCGGCTGTACTTCGTGCACAATAATGTAGAGTACCTTCCACCAGGCATGTTGGGGTAGATACAGCCTGGCTCGACTGGAAAGAGACTGCCAAACAAGCTTTGCATCCTCCGGCGGAATATTCATGCTGGCCCAATCCACAAGATCAGGATCGGCAGCTACGCCGAGCTGCCGGAGTTGCATGAAGACGTGCGCAATGACCCCAAAGCTAAATCGAGGTGGTTCCGGCAATTGAGCATTGCTCCAAGGACTTGGTGCAGGCGCGGCTGACTGTACACACGTGCGGCTTCCCTGTACGACAAATGCATGAACTTTGCGCAAGAGTTCATCGCGTCGAGCGGAGTCGGTGGACCCAGTTGCATCAATTTCGAGCAATTCGTACAGCGCGTCGATGGTATTGTGAAACCAGTCGTTGGCTGCATCATCCGACAATCGGTTGCCCAATGTCCTGAGAACATGGACCGTACCGTCATCACCCGGCATATCATCAATATCAATAAAGGTGAAGTTGTAGTTCAGTGAACTCGGGTTGGTCTTGACTGCCATGTAGAACTTGCAGAGAGACCAATCCTGGTGGGAACCGATTGCGAACTGTCCCTTTCGTTGGAACCAAATCGCCTCCTTGAGAGGGTTGAATAGAAAGGCATACTGACTGGGACTGAGCTGTCCGAGACCTCCATCCGCGCTCTTGAGTTCGGCATGCATATCGGGGATCGCCGTCGGGCTGGAGCTTGCATCGGCTCCATACTTGCGGATGATATCCAAATGTTCAAATGTGACTCTTGCTCCCGTCATGATGTTGTTGGATAGAGGGTCTAGCAACGAAGATTTAGGTTTTTGTGTGGGTTGATGTTTCGGTTTGGGCTGTGTATTGACTAGTACAGCTGGAGCAAATAGTAGCGGTACCGTGAGAAGTGAGGGGACGGGTGCTATGGGTGCTTCGCGGGCTGGCTCCGAAACAGGCTCTTTTGTAACAGGTTCTGGTTCCGAGACGGGCTCAACTACTGGAATTTGCTCGGGTAGTTGTTCAGTAACTGTTGTAGGCTCTGGCTCTGCAGGCTGAGGTTCTGGCTCGGTTGAAGGTTCTGGCTGAACTGCTGGTTCCGAAACACGCTTGATTACGGGCTCAACTACTGGAATTGGCTCAGATGCAGGTTCTGGTACTGGCTCGGGCTCGGGCTCTGGTACTCGGACGGGTACTCGGACGGGTACTGGAGGATCTGGTTTAAGAACAGGCTTGGGTTCAGCAAGAGGCTCGGTTGTGGGCGTGGGCTCGGGTTCAGCAAGCGGCTCGATTACTGGTTCAACAACAGCTGTAGGTTCGGGCTCTGGTTCAGCTACGGGCTTTTGTACTGGAGTCTCTGGTGCCAACTCTGGTACTGGAGGCTCTTGTTTTGGTTCTGGTTCTGACTGAGCTGTAGGCTCGGGCAGTGTCTCAGCTGTAGCTCGGGTACTTGAGGCTCTGGTTCAGACTCAACAACAGGCTCGGTCTCAGGTTGAGTGACAGGTTCAGCGACAGGCTCAGTTGTAGGCTCAGGTTGAGTGACAGGCTCGGGCTCGGGTTCAGAGACAGTTGGCTCGGTTGCAGGCTCAGATGGTTCTTGCGACGTCTCTACGGTCGGCTCCGGTGTAACTGTAACTTGTGGTGGATCGACAACGACAAGGGGTTCGGGAGCTTTGACAGGATCAGGCTGAAATGAAGGCTCCGACTTTGACTCGACTGCTGTTGGCTCAGGCTCAACTATCGGTTCTGGGGTGGGCTCGGATTCCGGTTCGGATGTGACTGGTGGTGGTGGTGGCTCGACGACTGGCTCTGGCTCTGGCTCTGGAACTTGGACCGGGACTGGTTCAGGTTCAGCTTTGACTGGTTCAGGTTCAGGCTCAAGGACTGGTTCAGGCTCAACTACGGGTGCAGCAAGCTCTGGCTGTGTGGGTTCAGGCTTTGGCTCCGGGACTGAGGCTGAGGTTGAGGCAGGTGGCTGCTCAACGACCGGTTCAGCGGGCTCTGGCTGCGGAGTGGGTACCGGTACAGGTGTAACTACAGGTGGTGTTGGTGTTGCTGTTGGTTCAGGCTTTGACGCTGGCTGTGCCGGTTGAACAGCTTGAGGCGTGGCTGCTTTTGCCTTTGCTTGTGTTTTCTTTGGCGGTGGTTTCTTAGGTGGCTCTTGGGCTGTTACTGGAAGTCGTTGACGAGCTGGAGACCTGGATTTTGACTTATTCCTTCTTTGGCTAAAACTTTTCTTACCCATTAGCTTTTTGAGCATTCGTTTCATACCATGGACTGGCTAGTCTTCGGCATCTTCAGTGTGTCTATATATGCAACTGTGGCTGTTGCTTGTTGTCGGAAGATATCTGAACAGATCGATCCATCTGATGGAGTTTCTTGAGAAGCGCTGCTTTGGATGTCACTTCTTCTTCTTTTCTCTCCAAAACTGAATGACTGCCAAAAATGGTAAATACCCACGCCAAATCCTTACCAAATTCGTCTTTAGCTAGACAACAATGGTTAAATGACCGTAGACACTTCTAAGTATCTTTCTCAGACATAATTTTTCAATTAGCCTCATCTCTAACAATGGCACTGACAAGGAACGGAATCACGCAACCCCATTTCCTCTTTGCTCAAGCGCACCGTTGTTGGGCTTCTGCTTTTCGCCTTTCGCTTTTCGACTCGACATTTTACTCTTTCGGAAAGCTGCAAAATTCGCTGTCGTCCCTTTAGCTTCGTCCAGTCGTTTGGATACTTATTAGTCTAGTCTATGTTTGCCAGACTGATTTACTACGATACGGTACCTTTCAGAAAGCAAGCTACCGTAGCGGGCCAGGCAGACGGAGAGTATCGATATGATTGCAAGCTACTAGCTAGTACTGCTACCGGACGGTGAAGCTAGTACGGTACTGGTTCCAAGACGAAGTCTGAAGCTGGAACGTCGACCCGAGGACTTCCATGGTGGCGTCCAACAGCCATGTGCAGCGGAAACTGAGACTCGACTCGACCGACTCAAGAACTCTTAAGTCCATGGAACCGGCACCATGCGCGAAACGTGGTAATGAAGTCAGACTACCGCGACACCACGACTTCATTTGATCGAGCAATTAATTCTCAGTCTTTGTTTTGACTTTCTCGAACGAGAACGCGAATTTACGGCCCCAAGACAACCACAAACCATAAAGCTTCTTTCAGCAACACTCCTGTGCATCGTAGACCCCCCGTATGTGCTTCTGATATCGCCCAGCGATCTAATCGCCACCAATCCATCTGGGTGGACTGGTCAGCAATAGCGCAAACTGCAAAGACAACTTGAACACCATTGTGACTGCTTGGCTGTTGTCCATGCAGCACTGGTTTGTACCGGTGTTACGGTGTTTTCAAAGCTCAAAGATTGAATAGAGCCACTTTGGCTGTGAGCGAGTCGAGTCGAGTCGAGAATTCCCATCACCTCCGCAATCATCGCGGCATCCGAGTCGCTGGTTGGCTGTGTTTCGAAACGTAAACTGAGGTCTTCACAGCTCCGATTCGATTCATTCTTCCTGAGACCATGATCGAGCGGAAAGGGATTCCCTGTACCTCTGGAAAGTTGCCGCCCAAGTGAAAAATAGAGCAGTGACCGAGCTGCGAGGCATAGAATATCAATCTGGTATAGAGTGAGACATTCCGTATCGGTACGGTATAGCTGGCTACCCCAAGAAAACACCGATAGCTAGCTTGAAGCTAAGAGGATACGCGTACAGTAATAAAACATTTGTTTACAATCTCTACAAGTACATGTATGTATGTTCAACCAAGCAAGCTCCCCATGACCCACAAATTCTATGCACATGCATACCAACCACTAACGGTAACTATCTTCGAACACCTAAAATGTTTCCATCGTAACGGCCGTTCCGGTAATCACGGCCACCACTGTCTCGAACGCATTGTCCATCTCGTCCAGGCCTCCTCGGGCATCAATGTACAACGACTTCTCCGTAATACTTGTTATGGTTGCCACGGATTCCCCTACTTGAGACGGAACCTCAAATCCTATGATAATCACATTGATCTGAGGACCGCCCTTCTTGTTGTGCTTGTCAATGCGAGCAATCACTTGCTTCGCTGGAAAATCCCAAGCCGATTCACCATCCGTCAACGCTATTATCCAAGAATCATACTGGTTCCCACTGTTCAGACACATTGTGGCACACTTGTTCAACGCGGCATACAAACGAGTACCACCCTCGGCATCCGTTGCTTTCGTAAGAATCGATTCGTGCTCTTCTTGGTGGCTACCTTTCCGAGACAAATCAAAATACAGCTTCTCGTCAACCGCATGGTTGAAACGCACAAAGCCAACATGGTCCTTGTCCAAGCAATGCTCCTCGTACACCCAAAGCAAGTTCTGGTTAGCCCTGCAGAGCAAGAAACACAGAAGGGGAAATAGCAAGAGAAGACGTCACAAAAGTCAGACTACACGTCTTCAACACAGACCGCAGCAGGTTCCATCAAGACATACCTCTTCATCCGGGCACCAGCCATACTGCCACTGTAATCCAGACAAAATATCACATTCTTCGCTTCACGCATAGAATCCACGGCGCCTCGTCGAGTGTCACGCTTCACTCCCTGAGCAAGATTCGGAATTTGCATGGGATCCCCGTGAAGATTGTAGTACTTGTTCAGTGTAGTCACACAATTCTGGAAACAAACAGGCAAATCAACACAGAGATTTGTCAGTCCAAAGACTGCCGTCGAAGAAGCAAAACGAACCACCTATTAACGCATCTCAAAAAGTCTTACCATGCTGACTGTGTCAATGATGTACTCATCTTCCACCAGCATTTTGATTGCAATCTTGGCAGCTGCAAGCTTATCGTCTTTGATGAGAGCCAGCTGGATCTTCAAATCGTTGATCTGATACAGCAGAACAGAAAGAATGAGAGTGCACCATCTAAACGAAGCAAACGCACGCGCTTTTTCCTTGGCACTTTTATTACCTGTTGTTTGCGAGCCACGAGACCAACAGTTTCAAACAGCTTGGAGTGGACATACTGGGGGTCGTACATCATACCTGAAGCCTGGTCAATCAGCCTGTCAATGCCCCAAACGTCACGAAAGTCACTGTCCTGGATAAGCGTAAGCATGCCACGGGCGCGCCTCAAAATGCAACCAAACTCCACCAACGCGTACTCCACCGACTGCCCTCGTTCGAGCCAGTACATGTGAGCTTCCAAGTCCAGTGTCTTGGCGCGCTCGAGGTCCTTGATCCCAGTTTGCTCTAAATCTGGCGGAGCCCTTGGGTGGTCCCGATTTACAATGTAAAACATCCCTCGGTTGAAGTAACGATTTGCGAGCTGAAACGGCCAAGAAACCACCGAGGTGAGCTGTTGCATCCAAACCAGATTTAGATTGAAAGCATTGTAAACCTACCTGCTTGACGAAGTCCCCTCGTGCATCGTCAAAGTCAGCATTCTGGTACTCGAATGTACCCTGTTGGAAACGAAGCGAAGTGTGTTGTTAGAGGGAGTCCACTAGGTAATTTGCTGAAAATCGAAGCCTTAACGTACAATCCGAATAGCTCTGCTCGCCAGACAAAAAGAACGAGCTAGCGTTAGCGGCAGTTTCTTTCGACAACTCCCGAAATACAAACTCTTTTTCCATCCCACAGCCACTTACTCGTTGAAGTATTTCATTCCGTTGTAATATACGTCATCGCTTTGAGCCGTTGTGGACGATCTTTCCATCTGCTCCTGCAGAACCATTGTGCCAAGCTGAAGGAAAAATGCAAGCAAGAATGAGGACGACTCCGCCGATCAACCGAGACTTGAGCACATTCGATTGAAAACTTACGTTGTTGTTGGCAACGCCTATGCAGATAGATGAAGGCGACGGAAGCGGGTGAGCACAGACCTGACGACTCGACTCCGATACAAGGGCCATTATTATCCTTACCAAGAGCTTTCTGGTTCCCCATCTGTTCGTTGCACAACCAAGCACGCAACAACCTGTTAGGGGCATCACTACTTCCAACACTCTTTCTTGCAGCTTTGCACTACAAGACATTACCTTCACAAACAGATCCAAAGCGTCCTCCAAGACTTTGTAGGATCTAGTTCTGTCGCCCTTGAAAAACGCAGCGTTGGTGAATCGAACAATCTTACAGAGCTGCCCTAGTGATTCGTAGACGTCATAGATCTCACACGAGCCCCCACTCAACTCCGGCAGCTCATCTGCCAAAGTCTTGCTTTGAATGCTCTTCACGATGGCAATCAGCGTAAGGACAGGCTGCGAAATGTACATGCACATTGTGTATGTCATGTAAAGAACACTCAGTACAGCCGCAAGAATCAAGGCTAGCGAGATGTACGTGACCTGGTTGATGTCTGAGTTGACCTTGTCTTCAACTCTTGTGAACGGGAGCACCAGGTCATTCATAGTTATGCCAAATCCAATGGAATAAACCTTTGTGACGCTGGAAGTACAACCCGCAGAAAAGAGGGATGCATTTATGGGGGAGAGCGTCCTGGTGCGAACGGGACCGTACGCCAGGAATACCTCTTCTTCATCGCCATTAGCTGTCGAGCGCGTGAAGACTGCATAACCTTTGTCACCCCTTCTCATCTTCCTCGCAACATCGTTTTCAAAGACTTGCCGATTTGTGGAATTGTCGTCATCGAAAGGCAGCACGATGGCACGGATTGGCGCTCCTTCTCCGAGAGTATACCCGGGTCCGACCAGCGTGTCATGACCATTGCCCTTTTGAAGCAGAGCGGAAGCATGATGAGCCTCTCACGATCTTAGCTTGCCCCATCCGCCAGCAAACGTAAGGAACTTACATCAGGCTCTGGGGTAATGATGATTGGGAAACCTGTTACACCGTGTCCGATCGGAGTGTGCTCAGGTGTCAGGGCTTTCATAAACGAATCCGGGAGGAAATCCATGAGCGCCTGTCCAACAAATTCGTCTGTAATTGGATCCACCAATTTAAAGGTCGCACTCCCAGCAACTAGAGTCGCGACGGAAATCACGAAGGAAGGAATGAGCTACTGCAAGTAACGTAGCGAGACCAGACACGAACTGTACCAAAACTCACATATATCCGACGATGCAAAGGGGTACGGGGGCGTGACGTAGACACCTCCTTTCTCTTTTCCTGTGTCGAACCAACCCCGACAACGAGCATCGTATCCATACTTATTCTCTGGACATAGCTCTTCGCGCGGAGTGCCCTTTTTTGCCATCCAGTGACCATAGTTGATATGCGAGGGGTGACAACCCGTGTAAGCTGTCATCATCCCATCATGCTCAAACCCAATGTACGCTGGTTCACGCACGGAGGAGGCAAAATTCCGTGTCAGCAAATCGACTGGTTTTAAAATAATCATGTCACAAGGAGATCCAAACTGTTACTTACTCCCCAAATTCTTCGTTTCTCCTATGCCCGGGTTGTAATTGTAGAGTGGGATGTCCACAACAGCCATTGCGGATGTAACCCGTACTCGATCATAGGTAGTCTCGTGACCAAATGCGTTCTCTTGCTTTTCTGCACCCGGCATCTTTTCCGTTTCATTCCACCAGTTCGTGGAACTTGGGTGCATGGCAACGCGAGGAAAAGATGTAACCATTCTCGTTCCAAGTGCATCGGTGTCATCGGACTGCCCTTCATAGTAACGATATTGCAGATGTCTGGAGCTGGTCGTATTGAAAATTGTACAGGTCTTTCCTCCCGGATCATTCCAATCACAATCGCAAGCCGTGTTTTCGGGATTCAAGAGCCACGGGCACAACGGATCCCCGTTCTTTTCATACAGTTTGCATTCGTCCGCCCCGGTGAGTGTCTTTGTGAACGAATTGGCCCTATTGATAGCACCAAATAGCAACCAGCCAGCCACACGAGAGTAAACATGGAGATCTCGTATAAACCGAGTGAGAACCTGTTCACCAAAGAAGCTTCGCGCATTCAAGGCTGTGATGATGGAGTTTCTTTCGATCAGAATACTTCTATCTTTGACCTCCCCCAGCCACTCCGGGATAAGCTGTGTTGTGTCGCTTGCAACCGAAACAGATATCAAGATTGCCGTAACGAGAATAGGGGTACCAACCAGAAGAGTAGTCCACCAAAACAGGAACGAGTGGTCTCCCGCGGAGAACCCGTCAAGGAAATCGTTCATATCGCGATCGGGGTGGATGATGTTTTCTCCACGATTTACAAATGGCGGGCCATCAAGCCGTTCCGGCTCCTTGTCTTTCAGCAGTCCAGCTTTGACCCCCGCTTTCACTGCTACTCCTTTGACAGATCCCACCAGTGAACTGGATCTAGTCAATGCAATCTGAACGGGTTCACTGTACAGAAAGGTTTGTATCGACCCCGCAAGCGAAGCTGGAATGATGGAAAGAATAGAGGCGCTCGTGCCGGTTGTGGAATCCGCAGTCAGCTCGTCCTCGAAGACCTCTGGAGTTGACGATTTTGTGATGGAAAGTTGTCTTGGAATGTTTGTCCCGGGGACTTTCTCATTGAGTATTCCTGTTTCCCACGGGTAAACGTCCTCGTACATCCGACGCCACTCGAACGTATTCCTGACTTCGTTGATGGAGAGGCCTGCAACCTCGGCCGCGCCATCTCCACTGAATTCCTTAATCATCTTTTCAAACTGCAAAAGCAGCTTGGTAACCTCTGTCCTCGGTGCACAAAAGGCTCTAGCTTCACGACTGTCCATAGCAGCGAGCCCGCTCTTGGTATCTGTTCCTTCCACAATTGCAGCAGCGACCTTTTGCATCCAACGCAAGGGTTTCGTCAATGTATGACTAATGTATACAATGCAGAGGAGAACAACACCAAATCCAATACCTCCCACCATTCCGATGCGCTCCCACGTAGCTTGAACATCTTCGTCGATGATGCCGTCCATCTCATCTAGCAATCCAAAAGCTTCGTCTTGATCAATGGATATGACGACCATGTATTCTGGTACATAAACGGGATCGTATTCCAAGGGTACATTGGGGACAGGGTGCATCATGATGAGTTTTCCGTTGCTTTCGAATATTTCCTCGTGGTATATTGCATGTACTGTGGCTGGGTCCCATGGATTGTTGTAGTCGACCATGAGTCGCATCTGGTTGTAGACTTCTTGAGTTACCCCCAGATTGAGTCTATCCTCCGTGATGAGTACATTTTCCGTTTCTATTTCGGGATCCCACTGGGAAGCTACGACAACGGTGCCCAGGTCATCCCAGCGGACCAGAGCCGCCTCCGCTGAGGCGCCCACATCACTGCTGCCTACAAGCACGTCGTAGAGCTCCGATACGGACAAGTCGACCAGTGTACATCCAATGAACTGATGACTGAGTCGATCAAATACAGCTTCACCAAATGTGAGAACCCACAGATTGATGGAGCTGCCCGCATCAAGGTAAGGACCACTTGCTTTAAGGTTGTGTGCCGAAGCAGACGACAGTCCCGCCGCTAGATCCATATCTCGTTCGACCTGATCCCGACACCATCCTCGTTCCAGTGGATTGTACTCTCTCATGGGAACGATCTCTCCTCTAGGATGGCAGTTTTCTATTTCTCTTCTGCCCCCAATGAAGACTTTTGATCTCGGGTGGGCCGTGTACATCCATTCGCAGCCAATGGATTCATAGGTTCTATTTCCATTTGTGACAGTGGCGGGGTATTGCAGAATGCTGCCAGCTCCATCGTTTGCAAAGTATACGCCAATGGACTTTACGTCTCTGTGTTGTTCGAACAAAGGCTTTAGAATCCAGGCAATGTCCTTTGACTTTTGGTATAGGTGCCAGTTGACTGCAGTTGGCTTGAGCACACCTCCCGTCATCATGTTATTGTTTGCGTCTGAACATGCCGTGAAATAGGTAGGTGCGGCGGGATTGGTTTCATTGGGGTTGCAGATGCCTTGTGCTCGGTATGCCGCGTTTGTGGTGTCGACCCGGGTGACGTTTGGTGAGTACCATTCCAAGGGTCTGTCCGGCAAGTGTTCGTATGCATTGAATTCATTGACATTGCCCGTAATCTGCCAGTCGAGCGGTAGTGGTGTGGCGTCTAGAGGATAGACATTGCGTCTTGTCACGGCATAGGCTGGTCCGCTGAGGTAAGTAAAAAGTATACCGCTTGGGTCGGGATAGGAACAAAAGTCGCCGTCCGTTTGACGAATATAAAAATCCTCCACGCCCGGCCATAGTTGGAGAAGTTGGGGTATCCCACCAAGCGATCCTCGCGCGACCTCTGCTAAGAGACTTCCACTCCCACCCACAGTATTGAACTGAATTGGACATTAGGGTTAGGGAAGTTGTGGAGCCGTTTCCCACAAGATTGAATGAGCGATGTTAGCTTGTTTGTTTCAAGGGTAGCAGCCAGCTAGCTAGCTAGCTATCATGGCTTGTAGCAAGCAACGCACCTTTTTGGTCATGGTCTCTGCGACATACTGCGCTGTGCTACTGAGTGAGTGCTTGACTAATTGCGTAACGACGCCTCTTGCCTGGTACTGGACAGACTTTCCGGAATTCGAGGCTGTGTAGAGTCCAATCATGATAAAGGATCCCAAGGCCACTACAGCAGTGAGACCAAAGGAAAGCATCATCTGCATCTGCAGAGTGAACTTGGGGTTCAGACACATGTGGGTTATATTCACCATGGTTGGGTATTGTTGTTGTTGTTGTTATCTTGATGTGGTTGTTTGGTTCTGGCTGCCGCTCATTTGAATTTTGTCGGTTGCTTTGTTCTGATTTTTGTTTTTGCTGTCATCCATGCCCATGTTGTTCTGCTTTCGGGATCCTCCCTGTTCTCACATAACGGTACCGTTCAAAGGGGATTGTGAACCACTGTGCACAATAGTACACTATCTAAATGGGATTGTGACCGAACTAGGTTATGGTGCACCTCGAAGCCTCGCTAATTCTTTCTTTCGGAAGCCCTACCGTATCGCTGCTTAGCAGGGCTCGATGGTCGATGGTTATTTACCAGGTAGGCCTCCTGCATGTATTTACGGCTGTACAGTCGTACGACACTGCTGGTGGATCTGCGATGCTGGTTGCTAGCTAGCTAGCTGGCAGGATGAAAGGGGTGGCAGAGTGTGCACGTGGAATGTGCAGTTTTGTAAGGGTCAAACGCATACGTGTACCAGAATAACCGGTGCTTTACTTGCTTTACAGTACCGGTACCGCACCTTATCTTTTAAAAAAGGCAGAATTGAAAGCGAGGAGACGAATAAATAAAATTGGAGAAATTACCACCTGAGGGGAGTCTGGATTTAAGAACGGGAGTCAACTTTGTGGCGCGAAATCCAGCTAGAAATAGAAATAAACCCACTAAGCTGCAATATACCGAGACATCCTGGACTAGCTATGATAAAGTACACTGTAGGTTTTGTAGCGGTGAATCTTGAAGTAAGCTTCGAAGGAGTCTCCTTGTTGCTAGTGTGGCTTTTCAATCAACTGGGCTATTAATACACCATAATCCTTGAAAGGGGAAGCTTATTTGTTTTGACGAGGATGAGTACGGGGTATCGGTGCAAGGGGGTTGACTCCCTGCCATGCCCTCGTCACAATGTCGTCTGGCTAACTCATCTATAGATGATGACCATTTTCTTGCACTGCATGGATTATGTCTTACATCTGGCAACATGCCTTGGAAAACCTATACAGCAGCCATCGCTTCAAGAGTCGAAGCAAATCACGTTCTGAAGCCAATCTATGCATATATGCCCCAACCTTATTATTTTATTTTAACAGACAAGGCTCAGAAAAGATATTCGAAGAAGGAAGCAAATAAACCATGTCCATGCTTGCTACTATAATAGCTAAACTCAAGAATCTGGAACTGTTCAGTTGCTTGCATAAACCAGGGAATCCAGCACTCCCATGCCACTGTGGACGCCACCTTCTGGGGCCAACGCAGGTTTGCTCCTAATCAAATATCCCGCGTAGCCACCAGCATTATGAGTATTGTCGTTGTTGTCTTCGTGTTCATGTTCGTGTTCGTCCACGAGGTTGGTGGCGGGGACTCCATCTGCATGAACTGTAAAGACTCCAATTTCACTAATCAAGTCGGGACAGAGCTGCGGTTCTCCCTTGCGGACCAAGACAGTGGGTACTGATCGTGGAGTCGGGCGGAGACGTTGCATGATCGACCAAGCAGCGTAGTCGTCGGGAGAGAGCTCTTGCAGCTTGTGGATGATGTCTTGACCAAAGATCGCATGTCCTCCTCCCTCGCCTTGGTTTTTGAGGACCCAGTTGTCGACATTTTCCTTCTCGAGCCAGTGGATTGTGTCGCCGGTGATGGGTAAGTTGGTGCCGAGTAGTTCCTTGACGGCTCGAGCCTCTTCGTGTGTCAATTCGAACTTGTTGCATAGCTCTTGTGCATTCATGGCCGACAGCAAGGTCTGAACACGCTTGCTGGATGCCATTTGTTGTCGAATGGTTGCGTTCATGGCCACACGGTGTTTTTCCATGAATATTCTGGTTTGAAGGAGTGAGTGGCAGCACTGATCCTTCTGGTCGAGGTCACCTAAGTAAAAGTCACAGTGCGAATAGCCAGACCTCAGATACACGGTATCAATAGATCCAACGCCCTCGAGCATGAGCCTTCCCGATTCTCCCGATGAGAGAGTATCATGAAGCTCTCGAAAGGAGCGACGGACTGTCTGAATGCCTCTTTCTTGCAGAGCATATTCCAGGAGATGCTGATCATAGACGTTGTCCTCGTCTGGTTGTACAACCATGAGGAATCTTGGCGGTCCATCATCGTTGAATTCGTTCTTGATCTGAAGGGTAGTCTGGGCAATTCCCTCAGCGAGGCTGTCGATGGCCTTGTTTTGTACCAGCTCCAGCTTAGTATCAGTGTCAGTGTCAGTATGAGGAAGAGCGGAGAATTGGTGGTAGGTTGTTGGATGCTGTGTGTAAACGTATTTGTGTAGTTCATGTATTCTCTGTCCAAAGGGCCCCATTCCCGCTGCAATGGCGTTGAATTCAATCAACTTGGGTCCCACAGTAGCATCGTCCATGAAATCAGATCGCATGATCAAGAGTGGCAAGCGCCTTTCCGTATCCTGTGTTTGAAGCTTCAAGTGTGACTCCCATAGATGTTTGAAGAATGGATCTCCTTCAGTGATGGGCTCCATGGCTTGCTTTAGAAATGCATCATCTTGTGACGCCTTGTGAATGAGTTTCCCCAAGACTCCAGCTTTTGACTGTAGACTTTGGAATCTGTGCCTGGTGATGGGAAGAGGAGTTAGAGTGAAGGGGATGTGCATGGTCGAGAAGGGTCCGGTCTTGAACCCAACGCCATGAGCCAATGCCCACTCGATGGTGTCCTTGCTGACTGATTTGGTACATGTATTAATAGTTTGGTTGATTATCATCTCAGCTGGCCTGCTGTATGCTGTGTTGTATGTTGTATGTTGTATGATAGGAAGTTGCTTCTTGTTGTTGGTTGTATGGTTTTGTGTTTCTTGAAGAGATTTGTGATTTGATTTGTGACCTCGAGAACCAAAGCAAGCAAAGGTCCCGCTTGCGTCGATGAAGATCTTCGGATTTCCGTCGAATTCCTGTGGAGGTGCACGTCTCATTTAACTCTTTCCTTAAATACTGGAGTAAAATTATTAGATTTAGCTACGTCCACCCGGGCATCGAAAGTAAAGCAGCAGGTTCGATCCAACAGACAGATGGACACAAATCTCAACAAAGACACATCAAGAGCTGCTGTGACAACAAGAGTGAGTGATTACAAAGCTATTGATGCTGAACGATCGAGGAGAAAGGAGAGGAGCAAGCATCAGCAGCGGTATCTACTACTAGAGTACCAGGTAGCTACTAAGAGACTGAGAGTCCTTGCTTACTTCGTTTTTCAGTTTCATTGCGAAGGCCAAAGATCCACGCTACGCCAACACGCCTCTCACTACGACTGACGCTTCTAAAGGACCAAGCCAAGCCAAGCCAAGTCTCGTTATTCTATTCAACTAACTGAGAGTAAGTCAAGCAGCGTAAGTCAAGATTGTTTCAAGACAGACAAAGACAAGACAGCTTCCTCACGATCACCAAAAAGCAAAAACGACGGCAAAGTGAGTCCAAACAAGCTTGTAAAGCTGACAAATTGCCAATTGTCTGGCTGAGAGAAGCTATACTATACTGTAGCTACCGGTAGTCACTAGCTTAGCTGTTGCAGGTCCAAAGATAACCTTGAAGGATGGAAGGTCAGGCAGGGTTAAAAGACGACAAGGAAAAAGGGGAAGGAGACAGTGGCACTATTGATAGTACCACCAACCTTACCAGCCCTGGGCTTGCTACAAGCCCTGATCCTGTACCGGTAGCAAGTACCAATGACAGTGGACTCATCATGAATCATGATATTATTGAGACTTCTCAAGATCAAAATCAGACTCACAATCAAAATGAAAATGAGGATCAAAATGAAAAGATGAGTGCAGGTGCACAGGCACAGGCACATGTGGCAGCATCAGTTGAAGCGGAGCAAGATGAAGATGAGCAAGGTCCTCCCCACTTGGTAGAAGAAGTTCCTGATGGACGTGACAATGGGCATTTGCGGGGCCAAGATCCAATGTCTGTCTCACTCAGCGCTGTAGATGACGGCAGTGTTGGGGTAATTGACATGTCCTTACCTGTCGCAACCCTCCCGGGACCATTGAGAGAAGAACCCACGCTCAAAGAAAAACTCGTCGATAGAGAGAGACAAAGACGCAAAGAAGCGGAACGAGGAAGACTCAAGCGACAGTTTGCGCTCATGAGTAACGGAGGAGGATTAGTATACGACGGAGTTCCTTCCACAACAGGTACAGGGGCTATCAGAGAGAATGGAAGCATCACAGGAACTGTAGGAGAAGAAAGTAGCGTCGCAGCTCATGCCGATCTAGATGATTCCATATCACACTCGCATCATGGACACCATGCTCATCCACATCATCGTCATCAAACTCAAGATCAATCCGCACAACCATTGGGATACACCATGGAGAGATTTCTACAGGAACGCGACACAAACAACAATAGCAATAACAACAGCAACAATAGCAACAGCAGCAGCAACAACAACACTGCAACCGCAAGTTCAAACAATGCGCAGCAAGCCATGTCACAGGCAGAGTCGGCCGCGATTGCTACAGTCATGACATCCATGATTAGAGAAGAGGAAGAACCAGACAAACGAGTCGTCATGGAACGATTCTTAAAGGACCCTCCCGTCACCATCTCACAGGCAGAAGCCGCGGCCAGGGCGACTGTCATGGAAGCATCAACGACTAACATTCGACAAGACGCCATTGAACCCGATACAAACACTTCACGTGCTACCGACAAGGGAGTCGTCATGGAAAGATTTCTTAAAGAACCCGTCGTTGTAGATGCTGATTCAAACAACGGAATGCAAGATGATGATGATGATGATGACGACCCAAGTACCAATAGACCGGATGATGTTCACCGATCCGTATCATTCGACATTGACCTGCAACCGTCTCATCATCACAGATCCGCAAGTGGCGCCGGTAGTAGTACAAACAATCAAGCGGCTCCTCCAAGAGAACATTTACTACACAATATGCAGGTAAACACGGACGGTTCAAACGCATCCGTTCAAGTTGAGGTGGCACCTGAGGACAATCTCAATCTCATGGAACCGACTTCTCCGGGGGGAGGACTTTCCATTCCATCCGTCGTCGCCCCGTCCTCAATCGCTACCGACGATCAACACCATCGGCGTCAAGAGACAGAAATGTCTTTGGGAAGTGGAGGACCCTCCATTGACAGACAGTCTTCGGGAGACAGGCCCAACGGTCGCGACCACGACGATGATACCGATGATGAGCCAAGACTATTCCGTCTTACAGAGGCCGAAATTCAAGAAATGGCGGCGATCGAAGAAGCAAGCATTGGAAATGCACCACCATCCGATAGAGACGCTGAATCGCTCGTGGGAGACCTAGTAGGAACCTTTGGATCTCCCAACGTGGGTGAAGTCGATCCGGCTGGAACGACCTTTAGTCAAGGAACACCGACAACCGCAATGGAATCAGGCTCCATCTTGAGTGGAATGCCTCAGCGATCTTCGGTGCAACAAGATGACGACGGACAACATCGACGAATGGAAACCATGGATGATTTAGATCACAATAGCATCGACGGAATGCCCATGTCAGCTTCGGTGTCATCTCGTCTTGGTGTGTCGCCAGGAGCCAGCGTGTCGGGGAGTGCAGCCAGTGTAACCGCCAACCCACCCAGTGAAATCATTGGCCGCATCGAACAGGCACCAGTTCTACTCATGGATGAAATGGAGGGATCGGCCACGGCAGAACATGCACTGCCTCAGCCTCAGTCGTCGGCGCCGCCTTCCAGTGTCGTTTTGACAGAGGACGTCTCTAGCTTAAATCCCATGGCAGTTGGCACGAACACAGGAACACCTCATCTGAATCAACCGGCAGCCTCACAACATCGAATGGACGCCATGTCCATGCTTCAACTAGGCGATCATCCCATGCATGATCTTCAAGGAGACAACCTTCCTGTTCGAGAAGAAATTGTAAATCGACGCATCCGTCCTGGGATGGTGAATCTGGAGCAGCTTGCTGCCGCGTCGCCAGCCGTCCCGTTACATGTTTCTTCGCCAATGACAAATTCGAGACCGATGGCTGACAACATGATTGGAAGTGGAAACAGCCTCCTTGGCACTCCCAGTAACACAAGAAACGTGGAAGAGTTTGACTTTGACAAGAACGATCTTCCCATGACTCCTCGGTCGCTGCTATCGGATTCTCTCCATGATTTGCCAGGCGACGACCTATGGACCAGTCCTTCAGCCAAAATGTCCGTGTCCCCTATAAATCGAAGGAACCATAATTCTGCAAATCTCAATACTCTTCAAAGCACGACGATTGACCGTCTCATGGTGCCCAACATGTCGCAACCTACCACCGATTCGTCAAAAGCATTGCGCAGCCCCCCACCTACCGGTATGAAGGAAACGGAGGCAAAGTTTCCAACAGAAGTGGTGGATGGTACTGGTACTGGTACTGGTACTGGTATGGTACTGGTATTACTGGTACTGTATGGTACTGGTACTGGACTGTCTCATTTGGAAGATGCGCTGAGCCATGTTCAACTCAATCGTAACTCCGTCGTGGAAACAAAGCATATCGAGGCGTATTGTCGACGATCGACATTGTCGAAAGGTGAGTTGTGCCACCTATTTCTTCAATCCCTTTCTTGGTTGCTATCTCATCCTCTCATTTTTGTTTTGTTAGCCCTCCAAACACGTTTGTTGCCACTGCTCCTGACTGGGTTAATTGAGATCCCAGTCATGTTGACTCTGGCGCGGAGTGACCGTCTATGTGGCGTCTTGGGTAGGCATTATCACGAGCTTTTCTTGGCGTTTGTGCCACTGCTCGCTGCCATTTCTGGGAATATGGGGTTGCAATCCAGCCAGTTGACAGCCACCGCGATTGTTCATGGGCATGTGACTTCGGCTACACTGAAAGATTGGGTCCGATCCGAGTGTTCAGTGTCTTTGTTGTTGGGTGTTGGATTGGGCACTGTAGTGGGGCTTGCTTCCATCGTCCTTTTCCGCGACACCAAGGAGCACGACGACGGCAGAACGAACGCCAGTCTCGTGTTTGGCTTGGTATTGGGGCTTTCTCAGACTGTCAGTGCGATCGCTGCCGGTTGCTCTGGTTCGTTGAGCCCCGTGTTTCTGTCTTGGCTCTTGAAAGGATCCCAGGGCGTGGAAATGAACGGTGTTTTTGAACGTGCTCTTCAAGACGTGATGAGTGCGTTGTTGTCCAGCGTCATTTGCTATATTTTGTTTGCCCTGTTGGTTTCTCCTTTGGAAGGAGCTTCTGACGGTTGCGTTGCATGAGCAATGATGCCATGAAAGCGTGCATCGGTGAGCCCTTCAGCACATGCTGCAAGCCAAGGACGCCCGATTTTGTTTTACGAAAGGTCGGAAAGTAGCCAGAGGGCACCATCGTGATAGAGTTACATCCACTCTCTACTCTACTTGAGATTACAGTTTCGTTTCCTGAATTCTTCAAAAGTCAAGTCACATGGTTACACACAGGTACATAGCTACAGTAGCTAGCTAGCTAGCTAGATAGTAATAAAAGCAAGGTGCATCATTGTTTGTTCTGTTCTGCTCTATTCTTTGGATTACGACTCTACTATGGCATGCTGGCTTCATCACAAAGCATGGAAAGACGGCTATGGGCAGAATGATTTTGGTGTTCCTGTACCTGTTGTTCGTGGTAGTACGGTTGTTCGTGTACGGGCCACTGAATGGAAGCCACCTCATGACACTGTGGGCACTGAACAGGATAGTATCCGTCTTCGTTGTACGCCTCCCATCCCGGTGCTAGGTCTACCAGTAGGTCGTTTGTGCAAGTGGGGCAACAGAGAACATGATGCGTGGGTGTGACTTGTGACCATCTTCTGTGAGAAGAAGAGTCATGGTGGGTGTGTTTGACCGCGTTTGTGTTTGGTTGCTGCTGGATTCTTCCTGCAGTGCTGTATCGTCCCTTTCTTCGTACATTGACGGGCTGCTTTCGTGTGGGCTGAATGCCTTGATCCGTGGACGACAGGAGACGCATACTGATGTGTGGATCTCTGGATGCTGAACTGTTTGTACCGGTACTGGAGCTGCAGATGGTACTGTTGGCACTGTTGGCAGTCGCAATGGATTCTTGGGAAGAGGACAAGACACTGAAGGAGTCATCCATCTCATTGACTGCAGTAGCGGTAGCAGGGGCGGGGGCGGTGATGGTGTGACTTGGGGCACCTGTCTGAATGACCAGGTCAAACTGACTCCACCTTATCTGACGGCGTTGTCTTCGCTTGGGTAGTCTGAGGGGTGCAGGTACCTGTGAAGCTCTACTGGTACCGGTACTATTAATAGTACTCGTCTGTGTGAAGGTTTTGCTCGTCGAGATCTTTTCCCCCTCTTCCAGAGACTTGGCTCTCTTGGGTGTGGTGGGAATAAAGTCCATGGTCCTTCTTCTGCTGCCGCCGCTACTGGTGCTAGTACAAGTACCAACCAGAATGGGTTCACTAGCCACACTGTAGAGATCTTCAGATGTGTTTGCTGCGCCTGAGATTAGATAAGATGAAAAAAGAAGTTTAGGTGAGATGAGATCAGGAAGATCAGGAAGATCAGGTAAGATGAAAGGTAGCTACCAGGTAGGCAGGTACTGGTAGGTAACTTACCACAATCTTGATCTTGAGCTTTCTTGCTTTTGGTTTTCCTCCTGGTCTTTCTGGTCTTCTTAAGCTTGCTACTGCTATTGCTATTGCTAGTATTAATACTAGTAGTAGCTTTCAAGCAGTTTGAAGGTGCAGGCTCTTCTAGATCTAGATCTGCTCTCATGACTTTGAAGCAACATGAAGGCGCCTGATCCGCCTTGCTGGAAGATCCACTGTCAAAGCGGTTGCTGATGCTCATAACATCAACAGCAGCGTAAGGATCTTCGATATGAACGTTCATGGTGTCGAATGGCAGCAGCATAACAAAACAAACTGGAACGAAATGCAGTAAAGTAAGTTTTTAAAAAGTGTGAATGTATGTTTCAAGCAAGTTTTGCAGTGCAAAGAAAAATTGTGATTTGTGATCACCGAGCGAGCTCGAAAAATTAGTCTATCGTCGCGTAGGATCGTAGAGGAGCCACCGACATCGGCAAAACCCATAAAACTCACTTTGCGCACTTTTTTGCACAGGAGTTGGCGACTCACTCATGCTTGCATTGCGACAGTTATACGATACTGCTGGGTTGCTTACAGGATTGGCTATGGGTATGGTAGGAAAAGTACAAAAGTACAATGCACAGCCAGGAGCAACCAAGGCTCGGCCGGACGATCACAGGATAGAAGAGCCGCATCTTTCGAGATCTATTCACCGAAGCAGAGGTGCGGGAATGGGGCTGTTCAAAGAAGGCTCTTTGCTCGGCGAAGACACACTCAAAATACCCGATCGCTCAACAATAGAGCTGCCATTACGGAAGCTCGACGGATGGTTCTGTAGTTGCGCAGAACAAAAAGTACTCCGAATCTTGCATTCCTAAGCCTCAAAGCAGACCATTTACGATCACCTGAATGGTTCCAGTCGCACGATATGCACATGGAGATACGGCAATGTTAACATGGATGTGCCCTTATTTTGTCATTGACGCAGCCAAACAAAAGAATAACAAGCTTTGACCATTGAGACTTGCCTCAATAATTATAGTTTGCTGCTCTTTCAAACCACAGAAAGTCACCATTATTTCTGCTCCGAGTAAAAAGATTGTCGACAGGTTCGTTATGTTCCCCCCTCTCAAACAGTCCAGTCTTTCCGTTCATCACGTCAGTGTTTCAAACTCACGCATCACGCATCACATTTTCAGTACTTTTGCCGCTGTTGCCTCTACATACTACTGTCACCTTGCCAGCAAGTACCCTTACTTCACTCCGGTAGACTCTTCAGACTCTAATAGTCCCCACGTTCGACCAGTGGCGCAGCTCTAGTGCTCAGAATGGTCATACTACAGGAGATGTCTGTACCACTGACTCATCATACTAACTCATACAAACCATCACACGGGCACACAAGGCTGCAAACGAAAAAGGGGGAGGGGCCCTTGCAACTGTCCTCTTATCTCTATCTCTGCGGCGACACACACCATCACCAACCACCAACCACCAACCACCAACAACCTTGAATAGATTAGAATACGATGCCATGCATCATGGGTGGTACTAGCTGTGGTACTCAACTATTAATAGCTACTCGACCACTTGTAGACTACTCGACTACTCGTACTGAGAGCGGAAACATGGAAACAGCTACTCATCTCAGAGTAGGAAACATGGAAGGCTTGAAGATCCAATATCCGTAAGCGTATTCCGTACAACAGCTAGCTAACCACTAAGTACCCAGTAGTTTTGTCAGGCTCCTACTCGTACAAATTTATTTATCTAAAATTATCTAACTTCTCTGCTTCTCTGTTACTAACAGGAGGTTGCAAAAAAAAGAGTAGTGGTGCCTATGTTCAGAAAGTGTTCTCCTCTTTCCTCAATGTAGTTGTCCGACCTCAAACCTGGCACAAGAAGATGCCAAGAGCCTCAATGCTGAATGGTTCTTTCAGAGTGCAAAGCTAATACTCTGCAGTCTGCAGTACCAGTACCAGTCAACTGGTACCACCGTAGCTAGTACTGAGTACGAGTAGCTATCTCTAAACCTGGTACGGTGCCATCACAGAGATTCTCCGAGATGACTATGCTACCGGTACATTAAATTTTATGTATTGCTTCCACCGGAACTCTTGCTTCTTTAGTCATTAATGGTTCCACCAAGCCCACCAATTATGCATAGTTTACACGTACCCGCGGCTCTCAACTCAAAGTCACCAATGGCGCCAGATTTCTCGGTGGTCATATCGGTGAACCTGAAGCCCTTTCCTCCTGGGTCTATTCCAAAATCACAACTTGGACGGCCTGCATTCAATCTCTCTGTGAAGTGGCTCAGTTTTACCCCCAGTCGGCTTATACGGCCTGCCAAAAGTCTCTCCAAATGGAATGGCAATTTGTGCAACGCGTCTGTCGTGTCCCCTCGAATTCTTGGCTTCCCTTGGAAAATGCCCTGGATTTTGCGCTCCTCCCCGCTTTATGGAATCTTCATTCAAGCGAACTCCCCCCCCGCGCTCTCACTTCCCTCCCATACAAGTTTGCTGGACTTTCTCTCCCGAACCCCATTACGGAAGCCCCCCTCCGCTACACTGCAAGTCGCGAAATTACATCGGAAATTACTCGATCCCTTCTTGCCCTCTTGCCCTCAATTCCCATCCCCCCTAGCCTCTTCCACGACCCTGCCACCCCCTTCATTGAGCCTCCACGTCCTCCTTTCAGAATTGAAGACCACGCACACCCTCACGAAGGTCGTCAGGCCACAAACGCACAAGAGCCTACCAAGCGGCTTCGAACCCATCAAGCCACTCTCACTCCTGCTGAGCAGTCACGCCTCAATCGCAGTCGTTGTACTGGCTCATGGCTTGCGGTCATGCCCGATATTGCCAAACGCACTCACCTCTCTGCTCAAGAATGGCGGATGCTCTTTTTCTCCGGTTCGGTCTTACCCCCCAGCTCTTCCAGCTCTCTGTGATGGCTGTACTGGTCCCTTAGCGTTCCACATGCTTTGGATTGCAAACGTGGCGGCTTAATCATCCGTCGCCATAATGAATCCGCAATGAACTTGGTTCTATTGCGTTGAATGCTTTGGTTCCTCTAGCGTCCAGTCGGAACCTCCCCTTCCATCTGTTCCCCCTTTCCTTACCTCCCTTCCTCCCCCCCTCTCAATCCCCCTCCAGCCCCCGAGCTCTTACCGGTGATCTTCCATTCGCGGCTTGTTCGAACGTGGTACACAGCTATTATTGACGTACTGTCACTGATTTGGACTGTGCCTCTTACCGAAACAAAGATCCCGTCAAATTTAACCCAACAAGAACGCGACAAAATTTCCAAATATAAAGAAGCGTGCGACTCCAATCGCGCTTCCTTTCATCCTTTGTTGTTTCTGTGATGGCATGCTTGCCCCCAAGCCAAGATTCTCTTACAACGCTTGCTTCTGCTACTGCCTCCAAAACTCAGTTTTCCTACTCTCAAATGATGTTTTTCATGCAGACCCGTATCTCAATTGCCCTTGTGAAAGCTACCCATTTATTGTCTCCGTGGATCTCGCAAAGCCAAACCATTTGGCCCCCGTACTGGTCCTCATTTCTTGCCCCTGATCCCACAGAACCTAGTCCTGAATTTCGACTGTTCTTGCTTAAGCCTGGCCCCGGCTGGCTTCCGTAGATAATTTCCCTACTCTAATCCCCCCCCCTACTACTAAGTGCAAGCTACTTTAGTGTATTAAGTTCGCACACAGTTATAACTAAGTCCTTATCTGAGAGTCTGAGGAAGTTATAGGCACTGTCTCAGGTGCATGGATACTAGAGTATGAGTACATACCGGTAATGTTACCTACCTACAGAACGTTCTGCAGATACAGCCATCGAGGCAACTGCCTAACTGCCTCAATTAAACTTTGTCCATTCAAACGACTACTCCTAGTACTCACCAGTACTCTTTGATCTTTGATGAGTACCAGTACTCCAGGAGTAACGAGTAATGCCCATCAGCGTGAAGTTTGAATCGAATCGAATATCAATCCTTTTTTAGATCTTGGCTTCGATGAGTGTGGAGTGTGGCGCTGTGCTGGTTGGTGGCCAAAATGTGAGCGTCTACAATGAAATTGGACCAACTCTACTTTGACATAGTAACTTATGTCTTGCGACGTTTCAAGGATTTATTTTTGAGTCTAGCTGTTCTGTAAGATCTCCTCACTTAGGAAATTCTTTGTTCTTTGTCCCCACGAGTAGTACGCTACACTACCGGTACCGGTACGAGTATGCCCAGCCTTGGCACCTGCTCACTTTTTATGCTTGCTGCATGGCTGCATGGGTAGTCGCCATTCAAAAGTCTAGCTAGTTTATTTTAAAACAGAAGCTCAGAAATAATCAGAAAGTATTCCGTTCAACGTACACAGTGTACCAACCATACCGGTACCGGTAGGTCTGGGTAATAGTGCAGCCTCTGAAGTCCACTCTCTGGTTTGTGTCGTCGTGAATATGAACAAAGTCCACAGGTTTTATACAAGGCGATCATGAGATGTGACAAAGCAAGTTCTCACAGCTCCTCTCCCTCGACCTCGTTCTGAGTTTAATAGGGATGGAATAATTGGTTTGTGCGGCCAAGTAGGCTCCAAAAGCTTGTCCTTTAGGTTGCGGGTTCTTGTCAGCTATCTCTGCATCTTTGAGGAACCTCTGAATTCCACCAAAGTCCAAGCTTCGGGTCGGTCCACCTCCAGCAGGGCATCTGAAAGTAAGATATGAGGCCCGGCTGCTCTTTTGTTCCCATCTTGGGATGAGCCGCTTCTGTCCTGACTACGTGGTCAAGATGTACATGTAGTTCGTTGTGTTTACAGTCTTGATGCAATCGAAAGATGAGATTTTGGGGCAACTGTTGATTGAATCGTCCGTGGGAGCAAAGATGAGCAATTCTAGATAAGACCGCTCCGAGTGCGGAGCATCGTGGTCAATGCTTGTTTCATCCACATGTTGCTGCTTTGTAGTTTCCGCAGTGCCATCAAGTTCTCGTTCAGCCTTGAGAGCAAGTTCCGACCGTAGGAGTGACATGGGACTGTAGGGACCACAGACGTAGATTTCATCGTGCCAATCATCGTTCATGGCAATTAGAGCAGGGACGTTTTCAGCTTGCCAGTGTTCCCCCGAGCGTGGGAGCATTGAGAGGCCGTTTCACGACCACCTTGACAAATGGCTTGCTGATAGGCAATCTGCAAAAACCTCCATTTCTTCTTGTTTCGCGGGCTTCCTCGATCCTCGAGTAGAGTGGTGTCATTGCATGCCTGGGTTCTCGTCAAGGGACTCAAAGAGCCCATGTAGTATCTGTATTCCCTTTTTCACTGCAGCCGTTTTACTCCTTGGGGCAACATTGGATGGAGACATAGTACAATATCTTGTTGCTCTGGTATTGTAGTACACGACCCTGCCACCCCCTTCATTGAGCCCCCACGTCATCCTTTCAGAATTGAAGACCATCGCACAGCCCTCACTGAAGGTCGCATCAGTGCCAACAAACGTCATCAAGATGCCTACCAAGCGGCTTTCGAAACCCATCAAGCCACTCTCACTCCTGCTGAGCAGTCACGCCTCAATCGCAGTCGTTGCACTGGCTCATGGCTTGCGGTCATGCCCGATATTGCCAAACGCACTCACCCCTCTGCTCAAGAATGGCGTGATGCTCTTTTTCTCCGGTTCGGTCTTACCCCCCCAGCTCTTCCAGCTCTCTGTGATGGCTGTACTGGTCCCTTCAGCGTTCCACATGCTTTGGATTGCAAACGTGGCGGCTTAATCATCCGTCGCCATAATCCGCAATGAACTTGGTTCTATTGCGTGTGAATGCTTTGGTTCCTCTAGCGTCCAGTCGGAACCTCCCCTTCCATCTGTTCCCGCCCCTACTATCCCTGCCGGTCACCCAATTTCCACCTTACCTCCCCTTCCTCCCCCCCTCTCAATCCCCCTCCAGCCCCCGAGCTCTTACGCGGAGATCTTTCCATTCGCGGCTTGTTCGAACGTGGTACTACAGCTATTATTGACGTACGTGTCACTGATTTGGACTGTGCTCTTACCGAAACAAAGATCCGTCAAAGTGTTAACCCAACAAGAACGCGACAAAATTTCCAAATAATAAAGAAGCGTGCGACTCCGATCGCGCTTCCTTTCATCCTTTGTTGTTTCTGTGGATGGCATGCTTGCCCCCAAGCCAAGATTCTCTTACAACGGCTTGCTTCTGCTACTGCCTCCAAAACTCAGTTTTCCTACTCTCAAATGATGTTTTTCATGCAGACCCGTATCTCAATTGCCCTTGTGAAAGCTACCCATTTATGTCTCCGTGGATCTCGCAAAGCCAAACCATTTGGCCCCGTACTGGTCCTCAATTTCTTGCCCCTGATCCCACAGAACCTAGTCCTGAATTTCGACTGTTCTTTGCTTAAGCCTGGCCCCGGCTGGCTTCCGTAGATAATTTCCCTACTCTAATCCCCCCCAAACTTTTGGAGTACCACTATAATGCTGGCGGCAACACACGACAGATTATAGCCAGACTCATAAAGCTAGCTAGGCAAGCTTTGCATGCATGCAATGACATTCTGGGACACCTACAGGGCTATTGTCTACCCCTGTCTACACTATGGCCCGAGCTACGAGCTAGGAGTACTAAGTAGTTTGAGCTTAAGGCTATAGAGCTGTTAATGCTACTATTGCTTTTTGCCTAACCCAAGCTGTGTGAGTGGTGGCATTGGCCACACTCATACAGCTGTGAACTCTTCACAAAAACAAAAGGGCGGGATGGGTCAGGGAAAGCGAAAACATGAGCAATGCACTTGTGTGGCTCTAGTAACCATCTGTAGGTGACCATTATCATTGCCCTGGTCTGTTGGAAGAGGAATGAAGAATGAGGAGGAGCGAGGACTGCAGAGGTGCGAGTCTTCTTCGAATCCGCGGTACATTCCTCTAGACGCACACTTGCTCCTACTTTATGCTCTCGGACTATAATGCTGGCGGCAACGCACGGCAGATTATAGCCAAACTCATAAAGCTAGCTAGGCAAGCTTTGCAGGCATGCAATGACATTCTGGGACACCTACAGGGCTATTGTCTACCCCTGTCTACACTATGGCCGGAGCTACGAGCTAGGAGTACTAAGTAGTTTGGGCTTAAGGCTATAGAGCTGTTAATGCTACTATTGCTTTTTGCCTAACCCAAGCTGTGTGAGTGGTGGCATTGGCCACACTCATACAGCTGTGAACTCCATGGTGCTCCATGCTCGGGGTGAGGGATGGATTGGAACGATCCGTGCCATGGAAGGTTCCGCGTGCATCTCTCAGGCCGGGTAGACAGAGTAGACTCATACAGTTGTGAGGGCTGCTCTGGAGTGGTGAAGTGCTACCAAAATGGCAGTACTATAGTGGGAGCGGTGAAGAAACAGACAGGACCGACTCAACCACACTGGAGTAAAAGTTGCTTCTGGTACTGGGGGCGGATGCCAGTGGTTCCAATAGCTCTAGTGCTGAGCTTTCGTGAGAGAAAACCCCAATGTCAGTTCATCAGAACTTGGGATCTTGTTTGATAAGGGTATTATCCCAGGGGTTGCTTGGTATCAAAGCTGTTGGTGCTCTGTACACTTGCCAGGAGTTTGACATGGGGTTTACCCCGTCACTGATGCTCGTGCTGATCAAGCTAGGTGGACTAGCTTGCACAGGCTTTTGGGACAGTAGATGGTGCTAGCTAGCGTGGACAGACCAGCAAAATGTTGTGAGTCCAAGGGAGCCCCAAGGGTTGGTCAGGGGATCCACTCTTACATTGGCGCTAGTGCCGATCAATCAAGGCGGATTTTGAATGGATTTGGAACTGGGATATTGCCGGATTATGGTTCCAGTGTAGGATTCGATTCAGAATTTGAGGCAACAGTGGTACATCCCATAAAACCAGTAGTACGGTGACCATGGTTTGGCGCCCAGAACCATGGGCTGGTTGAAACAGCTTTATCGAGCTGTGATCGTTGCAACAGATCTGATCTGGGGATCACAGTGCTTGTCAGTCGTTGTGAAACTGCTTGAGGCTTCAATTGTTGGGCTGTCGCTCGGTACTAGGCAACAATATTGTTGCTTGGTACTGGGTGACCGTGTTGTTGGAATTTCCGTGCTCGTACTCGAGTCTCAGTCTCAAGAGATAGTTGGACATGGCCAGCAGTGGATGGACTGCCCGTGCTGGGGCTAGTGGGTGTTCCGGTGCTGGGACTGTCTGTACTGGGAAACAGCCTTGCTTGGGCCTACCGTGATGGGCGAGAATGTGCTCGAGCATGTATTGCTGGGGCTGTCTGTACTGGGGCCGATAATAGTTGGACCAGAGTTGCTTGGGCTCCCTGTACGAGGGCTGTCATAGTTTAGACTGACCATCATGGGAATCACAGTGATGGGGTCGGCCAATGTGGGAATTCCGAGCGTGCTTGGGGCTTCAGTCTTTGGGTTGTTGGCAATGGGCGGCAGTGTAGTCAAATGGAATGCCCGTGCTTAGACTGACTCTCAGTCGAGCGACTGCTGGTGCTTGGGCCCTGAGCTGAAGAACCCGTAGTGCAAAGACTGACCTATCGACCGGTCCAGTTGGAGCCAAGAGGTGCTCTTCCAGTACTGTTCCATTTGTGGAGGTGGTTTGCTCTGGGTTTGCCTGACGCTGGTGCACCCCATTGCAGAGTGCTGAGTGCTCACTTCATTTGAACCTGAGTTTGAGACTCTGTACTTGCCAGTGTAACTGATTGGTAGCAGGTCCAGTCTGATTAGCAGGGGGGCACGGTGCTCAAGCCTGTAGTGCTGGGGCTTTCTGTGCCGGGGCCAAGAATAGTTGGGCCAGAGGTGCTTGGGCTCCCTGTCCTGGGGCTGTCAGTGATTGCTTCACTTCTGCCTTCAGGTAGAATCTGCTTCAAGCCAGAGCTGAGTTTGTTTGTTTGTCACAATGATTAGTAGTTGTTATTTTTGTCTACTGCGCCGAGGGCTTGCTTTTACTTCACTCAGAATGACAGGGGGCACTCCAAGCCAGAGCTGAGTGCTGAAGTTGGTGTGATGCGACACCACCCAACCTTGGATAATTGGTTGTGAGGCGTTCATTGCTGCAGATCTGATTGGAAAGAGGGTAGCAATCAGGGTAACTATGCGCCGATGTGGGATTCCCATAGCAATAGCGGGCGATTTAGCCTAGAGTAGATAGTTAGTCGTACAGCACCCTCCGGAGTTTTGTTCAATTTCTTCGGTGGGGGGCTTACACTAGGCCCATCCTAAGTGGGCGCCCTCGTGCGCCTGAGGTATATGGGTTCGTTCAGCGGATCGTCTGACGAGGTGTAGCCTTTAAAATAAAATTTCGTTATTTTTTGTCAAGAGGGTAGCACCTTGGATGACACTGGTCTTCTCGAAGCTGGGCTGCTCCTGTCAAGGTCAAGATGGGATCTGGTGATTAATACAGAGTTGGTGGCTGATCAGGGACCACCAAATTGATGCTGGGATTTACCGCGCTTGGGCCGGTGGTGGATGGACTGCCAGTGCCGGGGCTCCTAGCAGTACTTGAGGACATCGTTTGTCTGTCCATGGAACAACTTTGCTGGGGCCAGCTTTGTTGGGGCCAACCATGCTAGCTGACATGGAGCACGGGCCCGTAGTGCTGGAGCTGTCTGTACTGGGGGGCCCAAAATAGTTGGGCCAGAGGTCGCAAGGAGCCTTAGGGGTTGTCCAAGGGGTCTACCCTGTCATTGATGCTAGTGCTGATCATCGAGGTGGATCAGCTCTTGGGCTTTGAATGGATTTGGAACTGGCGATTTCAAAGTGTGGATCAATCGCCTGTTCACCATTTTACTGCTTGTATTAGCCTTAACCACTCCTTACCGCCTTTGACCATTTTTCACCACCTGTTTGCATCAAATGGGTACCACATGCAGGTGGTTGGGGATATATTCAGACAAACAAGATTGATTTGAGGCACCCCCTTGGTTTTATCATGGCTGGAGTGGGTGGTACCACCACCGCACTCGTACAACATGTACCTGTACGCTGCGAGTATGCCCTCTCGGGAAGAGCTGAAAGAAGTCATTGATTGTTGGAGTGATAGAGTCAGTCGGGCCGCTCCCAAATTTTGATCAGGGAAAAATTGCAAGCGACACTCTATCTATCTATCTTGCCACTGTTATTATTCTTGCCTCATTATTTTTAAGCGAACTAGAAACGAAGTCCACTATCCATTATCCTTCTGCTATTACCCAGCTAGCTAGTAGCCCTCAACTTGAAACGTTTTCTTAGTCTTCTTCAACAAAAGGCACTGGTCGTGGCTCTGCTGTTTGTCAATGTCATCAAGCCGGTGAATGGTAACAGCTGTACGTTGACCTTACAAGACGGCTCCACTTTCATTGGTAGTGAAATCAACAGTGTCAAGGGTGTGGCCTTTTCCACAGCAGGCACTCTTACTTGCGAAGCAGCACTTCCGCTTAACCCAAACACTGAACCTTGCAACAACAATGGTACCGAGACCATTGCAACAGAAGATTCGTCAGAAGACTCTCTTAACGATAACTGTGAAGAAGAGTTTGACTCTGGCCCTTGCCAACATGCCACGATCTCTAACTGCCTCAGTGTGGTCTGCAATAACAACGATTGCACCAATGCTGATATTTCCACAGATGTTAACGGTGTGCAATGCCAAGACGACAGTGCCTGCAGTGGAACTACTCTTCCTTCTCTTTGCGCTGTGACCTACCCAGATGGCTCAACATCTATAGGTACTGCAATCGAAAGCACTGCCGCAGTCACCGCCATTCCGGGTATGGAATACCATGCCAGCACCAACTCGTTAACCTGCCAAACAGGGTGTGATGGGTATGCATTGATGATATCTGGATGCTCAAGTGTGGTTTCCCCAGGTATGTGTACTTTGTCTGTGACAGATGGTACTGTCTATTTCGGGTCAGCTCTTGCCGCCCTTGCCGACGTAGCGTTTGATGCCAAGACTAATGCTCTCAGATGCAAGGAACAAGAATCTGGAGATGGTGGGCCCTGTCAAAATCATGCTCAAATTTCTGGCTGCAGCAAGCTCATCTGTGAAAAGATTGCTTGTTATGAAGCCGAAATTACTGGGGTTCCTTCCATTGAGTGCAGCGGTAATTTTGCCTGTGAATGGACCAAAATGACAGAACTGCCAAACAATGCACTTGTGACTGCGAAGGATTTGCTGCATGTGTAGACTCAGAGATTACTGCAGCAGACAGCTCCAGCGGTACTCGTGTTTCCTGTGTTGGTCTGGGGGCTTGCGGTATCTATGAGGCCACCACCAATTTAGCCATCAACGTTGATTGCCTACAATGCAGATCCTCCGATGCATGTGTATCCACCACTCTCCCTGGCTGCCACTTCCATGGAGAGCGTTGCCAGGCTGGTCCCCAAGGAAGCTGCCCTTGCAGCTTGACCACATCCACGGGAGAAACCTATGTGGAGCAGGACATCAGCACCCTTCATGATGTCGCATACGATTCTAATGCTAACAGCATCCTTTGTGCAGGCCAAGTAAACGGGGTATGACGGGGTATGCCGGGGTGGCACGATCATGTGATGCCCTACAGTTGAGTGTGGAACACAGGCCTGCAAGGGAACCACAGTCTGGAAACCAAACGACTTGGACTGTGTTGGCAAATGGGCTTGCCGAGAAGCTCTTCTCAAGAAACTCCCATCTGGTGCCACAGCCTCCTGCAATGGGGACAGGGCATGTATCGATGCCACATTCACCTCGGAAGGAGAAGAAAGCGTGTCTGTGGATTGCATTGACACTGAAAGCCAGGCGTGTCTACGAGCCACCCTCGATGGCATCGCATTGTAAGCTGGCCAGCCCCAGAGCTGGCCCGAGGCAGCATTGTCAGGGTGCCTCGAATCTCGAATGGCTCTTGCTCTGGTCTTCGTATGGTGCTAGTAGTTGTATCCCAGGAGTAACTTTGCCTTTGAAACTGATTCTTATAGCTTATTAGTTGTTGACAATTATTCTAGTTATCCATCTTCGATTCCGTCTCTTCTTTGTCAAAGCCGGCTTTCGTAGATATCTTCCCGACAGTCTCTAGCTAGATTTCCAGTAGACGAGAGAAACAAACAGTGGAAACTGTAGGTGTGGAAAAGTCTACAAACAGTCCACGAAGCAAGCAAGGGAGCATGAGCAGTAATAGTTTTCGTCGGAGGTCTACGGAGCATGGAGCGAGCAAGGGAGCTCGCGCCAACAATGGCGCAGCAAGAGACGAGATTCCATAGAGGACACACTGCTGTATATCTTGAGCCCGACCAGCCCAGGAGACCACGAAGAAGAACCCGAGAACCATGGCTTCGGCACGTCAAGAGAGAGAAGCAGCAAGAGTGAGACTTGAGCTATTATCTAACAGTGAACAGGCTCGACGACACGAACCATTGCAATCAACTTGTGATGCGTGCGCCAAGGACCATCGTTTCCCAGCCATTGGAAAACTTCTGGGAGAGGCCTGGATCAGATCCAAGGGTCACGGTAAGGAGACAAGGAACCAGTCAACTGAAAGACCAACGACGTCGCCGCATCATGCTACAGAGAACCAACCAGGAAGCACATGCAAACCAAGGGAACCACTGACCACTGAAAATGAGTCCAACTAAAAAGTCAACAAGAAGGGAAGAAGAGATGCGTCAGAATGGAGCAAGCGACCCGCCAAACAGAAGAACCAACTGATCGACTTTACCTTGCTGAAGCGAGGACGAACCAACCAATCCACAGAGGAACCATAGCACCGCAAGAAGTCTCTGCTGATGGTGCAAAGAGTGGTGCCATGTGCCACTGCAAACTATCATTTCAAGATGACGTGCATGGATGCGCGGGGTGGGGTTCCAGGACATATTAACCGATTCAGCCAAGAAGAAGTGCATAAGGACCACCCACCAACCGAGGCCCAGGTGTTTCCCTCAGCCAAGTCTGCTCACCGGTCACACTAGCTAGCTAGCCTCCTGAGAGGGTGTGACGCCTATTCGCTATCGAAAGGTTTGCACAAGCTACCGACCGGTTGGTATCAAGTGAGAGTAAAGAGGTGAGGAGCCATAGAAATTGCAACCAGAAAGAGTTTGACCATCGGAGCTTCAGCATTAGTTGCGCCATAGTGTGCCATGTCTAAAGCTGCCGCTCCGATGGTCAAAGGTCTTCTTGTTGTTGATTGCATGGCTCCTCACCTTTGAGAACTTTGAGACCATGTGTGTCATCGGAGGGAGCCTCTCTTTTGGCCGGATTCGGTGTCAAGAATTTTCCATTTTTTCTCAAGGTTGGATTCTGGGATGAGACTCATCGCAAGTGTGTCATTGGGGGCGGGGCTGCGCAAGCTGGTCGCAAGTTTCATTTGAAGTTCCCACGTGATGCGAATGGCAAGCTCGATCCCAACGGTGAATACTCTGGCGAAGACCAAACCATCCTCAATGTCAAGTACGATGATGAGACTCGTGTCAGTCTGGGTTGTTCCACCAACGCGACCGAGGGCCACAACATTCCTCTGTTTGATTACAGTGGCAAAACCTTACTAACGTCCAAAGATTACGCAAGCCGGAAGAAGATGGAGATTGCCCGAGTCAGGTCTTTGACTGGTGAAAGGTCTGGCTGGATCAAGCGTGGTCGAGTGGCAGGCAAGCCTTACAAGATTGATCGGTTGGCTCCCAAGCGGATCCCATTCCTTGGAAAGGGAGCAGTCAAGAAGTTCAATGAATGCTCTCCTCCTATCACGACCTTTCGGAAATTGGCGGAGCTGACTGACAAGCGCATTACCGCTTTGGCCAAGAAGAAGGTCGCTACCAAGGCAAACATTTTGGCTTGGAGGAAGGCGGCACAAGATGCTGAGGACGAACCAACATCTTCGACTGATCACCGCAAGGCAGCCAACCCATACCAATCCCGTTGGGGTGACGAAGAGCGGCTAGAAGGTTCTTCTGGAATGTCGCGGTATGTCTGTGTCACGACGATGGTGGAGCACATTTTCGAGGAAACGAAGGAGCATATGCAGGAGATCCACGGAGAAGACTGCGATGATTGGTGGGTCTATCACGATGCTTTGTCGCTCATGACTGCCACGACGACAAGGGCATGGATGGAGGAAAAGGGTTATCTCAAGCATTGGATCTTGCCAGAGTGTGGCCTCAACACCCACACTCCCAAGCACAAGCAGTACTATTCCAAAGCTCCAGTGGGAAACTCACCAGAGCTCATGCCTTGGGACTGCAGTTTGAATAAGGATTTCGACGATGCCATCAGCCACCACATCACGCAGACTCACCACTTGGCGGAGGATCATGAGTGCAAGTTCTCCTACACGACTCCAGTACGAGGATCTTATTGCTTGAGACGTGTCTACGAGTGCAATCCAAGGAGTGAACGAATCGTCCAGGATGTCAACCGATTCCCAAAACACCTTGTTCGTATCATGGAGTCAGAAGGATGTGTCGTTCGGGATATTGGGAACAGCAAGAAGGAAGAAGAGAGCTTGAGGGGCTTGCGGTCTGGAAAGAGGGGCCTGGCTGCTGCGGCTGCTGAGGAAAAGGACGGTGTCAAGGTTGACAGGCGTGGTGGTGCAAGGCAGAGGGATCCAAAGTCGAAGTCTTACTCTGAGACGGTTGTCCTCCATCCTGATGCGGTCAAGGGCAAGAAAGGGAGCATTGCGGCCTCTTTGGCTACTTATGCTACTGGAGAGGAGGAGATAAAGGAGAAGGATGTGGATGATCCATCTTCTTCTTCCTCTTTCTGAAGAGAGTCAAAGGGTAAGCTTGTGCTGACCAAATGTGCTTTTATATGGTCTTATTTCTAACTCCTTTGGAACTGTTGCCATTTTAGGATGCTGGTGAAGAGGATGAAGTGGATGAGTGAGTGTTGCAAGGCATGCAACAAAGGGGATTGTTGTGTTTGTGTTTGTGGGGTGTGGTTCTTTGTCTTTATAGTGAGTTTGTGGCCCTGTTTTGGCTGCACGGGAAGATCTTTCGCGACGCGATCATAGGATTGTTGTGATGGGATCATGGGATCGCGACGGGATCTTAGTGGACTTTGTGAGGGATCATTGAAGGAAGCGTCTTGCTGGTTCGATGGTGGATTGCTTGTGAGAGAAAGCATCTCTTTACAGTGGTCAAAGAGGGCTTCAGCGATTGACCGGTTATTGTCTTTGTAATCTTGGTTTCTTTTTTCGCGGAAGTGTGACTTAGTGTGTTTGAGTCATTCGAAAGCACGACACGCCAGCCGAGCCTGATTCGGAAAGAGGACGATCTCACTTTTTCGCAAAATTGAATAATCGCTTGAATAACATCGCAAAATTCATCCTTTTACCCCATTACTTCACCATGCCATAGCGAACCAACCAGAGGGCCTATCAACATGCTGTCATGGGCTTATCATGTCCTTTCATCACCCTCTACAAGGAGCCGGCAACAGTTGGTCACTATGGCCGAACTGAAATTTCAACTCTCACTTGATACCAACCGGTCGGTATGGTTGCCATACCAGGATCATACGATTTTAGCAAAAAAGTGACTGAACTAAGTAAGGATCATGTGCTCGTGCGGGTTCCAGGACAGACACAAGCCATGTCATGCAGAGACCATAACAGAAGTCTACCAAGTCCGACACAGCAGCTTCCAAAACACACCAAAGACGAAACTGTAATAAAAAATAATGTCAAAACCAAGCAAATATCAAAGTATTGGTCTAAAGCAGCGGGCAAACCGGACTTGCATCATACAAAGGTGCTGGATCAGCACACTCCATCGAGCTGAACAAGTGATCCTTGTACTGGCCGACTGCAGAGTCGCAAGTCTCAAATTGGTTGGCATCGATCTGGCGATCGGCCAACACAAGATCTCCGTGAATGTTGGAAATATCCCATTCGGCCTGTAGCGAGGCGGTCAAGAGTCCGGCATCGGCGAGATATTCCACGTCCTGCAGACATGTATCATGAATCGAGCAATGGCTGGATAGGGCACAATACATGACGTTGGTGCAAAACACGGGACCTTGCAAGTCACAGTTTCGCGGGTTTTCCTCCACCTTCAAGTCTGAAAACCGGCCCCGTTCAATGGAAACGACTTGGTCCATAACCGCAAAGAGAGCACTCCCGTAAGTAATGTTGGTAAAGGTGCTGTCGACAATGGATACCTGATTCCCTCGAGACGGCAGCGCCATTGTGCCCTGGCTCCATAGGTAGGGGTTGATTCCAACGTATACCAGAAACAAAGGAACGAAGCTATGTTGCCAACGGCAATCGATGAGTTGTATATCTTTGGCTTGTTGGTTGGCGACGAGCACCGATGTGGACCCGAACTGAAACCCTTGATCCAATGTTCCAGTAAAGGTGATGCCACGAACGGTCACATTTTGAACGTCTTGTGGGGTAATCCCATACTGATTTTCTCCGTAGTACATAATGACAAGCTGACTGGTTCCTCCGTCCAAAGTGCAGTTGTTGCTGGATGAACCATCGAGGCCACAGCGGACTTCGACATTGGATCGAACAATGAACAACGGGTCCTGGCCATTTATGTATGTGTTGTTGACGGAAGGTATTCTCATGATCCCGATTCGGATATGGGAGTTGGGGCACATGACAAAGAGGTCTTGGTGGGGGTTTTGTACCAGCGCAAAGTTCAACTCGAGAGACTCGGAAAAGCAGGGATAGTCAAAGGTTGGAGCCGGTGTGACAGTGATGATCTCATTGATCTCGGGCAGTGACAGATTGGTACGAGTAGTCAAACCAGCATCATTCAAACTGCTACTCTCTTGGTTGCTTTCTCGAAGTAGTACCAAAAGCGTCACAACCAGAGCAGCAGCCAAGACACAAATAATCACAGCGGCAATGGGCCACAACCAACGCTTATTGTCGCCTTGTTCCGGCAGTGTCCCAGTGTTTGCGACTTGGTCGTTCTTTCTATTATTAGTTGGCTCTTGGCGTTCCAAGTCATCCGACGACAGTACTTGTATGGCTTCCACGGGAGGAGTCACCAACTCTGCTTCCACCAATCTGGAGTCGTCGGCTGTGGACGCCATTGGCTCCATGGAAGGAGGTGGAGGGTCATTAATGGCAAAGGGAGTCGGAGCAACGGCAAAGGCTCCAGGTGTGCTCGTGCTGGTGATCGTGCTGGCGCTTGTTTGACCCCGTCCAAGTTCGTTCACGGAGGGAAGCGGAGCAATGGATCCATGTAGCACTGGTACATTTTCCTCTTCCTTTCCTGCCTCTTCCGTCGCCTTGTAGTCTGCGGCAAGACTATCATTCGTCGCAGTTCTTTGTTGCTGTTCGTCTTGCTTCATATCTGCAGTTTGCATTCGTAAGTATGAGCTAGCTATTGTAAAGTTAATGGTACCGTACGGTTGGTGGTATATCCTCTATACAGCTCTTTTTGTCTCCAGTTATGAATGCGCTATCTCTGCTGCGTTTTTGGCTGCGTTTTTTGAAGAAGATACTCGTGCTAATCTGTGGTCTGTGGCGTTTGGTGGTGTTTTTGAAGAAGATACCACCGGATTCTCATTCCCGAAGGATACAGAATGCGGCCACGCAACCATCCCAGCTGTTATCCAGCAATTGTTCTTAGAAGCTCTTTAACTTCTAAGTAATGTATGTTTTTACAAGACGCTTTCACTCTCCGTGTCTTCAATTCCGACTGCTTCTCAAAATATTTAATAAACAATGGACTCTGGGTAAGTGCAATACCGCAAACAACTTTTGTACAGTACGGTTTCTCATAGTAGAGGCCTCGACAAGACATTATTCAGTTCAGCTAGAAGCCCAGCTGTTCTTCTTTGGATCTTTTTGTGACGTTGTCAGCTCCTTGTGTCATTATTCTTGTTTTGCAAAACATCATTGGTTTTGGTTGCTTGCTTGCTTGCTTGTTGCATGGAGACAAGGAACCTGCAGACCGACCGTCACCGACCGACCGACCAAGGCCAAGCACATGCAAAACCAAGGGAACCATGCACTGACATGAGTCCAGACCAAAAACCAGCAAGAGAGGGAAAATAGGTGCGTCAGACTGGAGCAAGTGACCCTGCCACAGAACCACTGATGATATACCTTGCTGAAACGAGGACGAATCCAACCATCCACACCAGAAAGGACACTCTATCGATATGAAGATGCAGCCTCGAATGAAACAAAGTCTCTGCTGAGGATGAGAGGGCTCCATGCTGCCACAGCAACACTATCATTTCACAGATGACGGCTGGATGCGCGGGTGGCAGTTCCCGCAAAACAGGAACTCATATTAACGATTCAGCCACAAGAAGTGCTTAAAGGACACCCACCAGCCGAGGCCCAGGTGTTTCCCCTCGCGTCAGGTCTGCTCACCGGCCACACATAGTACCTCTGAGAGGGTGTGACGCCTATTCTAGCTATCGAAAGGTTTGTACTCTGAGGTCTGAGCTATGGTTGCCATACCACCGATCATGCACTCGTGCGGGTTCCAGGGCAGACATTGATCAGCCATGCAGTGACTGTCACAGTATAGTCTACCAAGTCCAACACATCAGCTTTTTAAAGAACCACCAAAGTGGAAAAGTAGATCAAAAATAATGGTAAAACCAAGCAATAATCAAAGTCTGGTACTGTAGGCAGTGCCACCACGAAATACATGTATGTCTCTAAAGCAGCGGGCATACCGGACTGGTATCATATAAAGGTTCTGGATCAAAACACTCCATCGTCTTGAACATGTCATCGTTGTACTGGCCGACTCCAGAGTCACAATTCTCAAATAGATTGGCATCGAGCTGGCGATCGGCCAACACAAGGTCTCCGTTGTTGGCAAGATGGATGCTAGAAATATCCCACTCAGCCTGTGGCGAACCGATCAATAGTCCAGCATCGGCGAAATATTCCACGTCCTCCAGACACGTAGCATGCATGGAGCACTGGCTCTCTAGGGCACAATACATGACGTTGGTGCAAAACACGGGACCTTGCAAGTCACAGTATCGTGTGTCCTCCACAACCTTCAAGCCGGAAAAGTGGCTCCTTTCAATGGAAATGACTTGGTCCATAGCCACAAACAGAGCACTCCCATATGTGATGTTGGTAAAGGTGCTGTTGGCGATGGATACCTGATTCCCTGAGTTGGTAAGACATTGTGCCCTGGCCTCCATAGGTAGGGGGGTTGATTCCAACGGTTATACCAGAAAAAAACTGAACGGGATATTGCCACGGCAATCAATGATTGGATATCTTTGGCTTGGTTGGTTGGCGACGAGCACCGATGCGGACCCGAACTGAAAATGTTGATCCAAGGTCCCGGTAAAGGTGATCCCACGAACGGTCACATTCTGAACGTCTTGTTGGGTAATCCCATACTGATTTTCTCCATAGTACATTATGACAAGCTGACTGGTTCCTCCGTCCAAAGTGCAGTTGTTGCTGGATGAACCATCGAGGCCACAGCGAACTTCGACATTGGATCGTACAATGTACAACGGTTCCTGGCCATTTCGATAGGTGTTGTTGACGTTGGGTATTCTCATGATACCAATTTGGATATGGGAGTTGGGGCACATGACAAAGAGATCTTGTTGGGGGTTTTCAACCAGAGCAAAGTTCAACTCCAGAGACTCTGAAAAGCAGGGATAGTCATAGGTTGGAGCCGGTGTAATGATCTCTGGCAGTGACAGATTGGCAGCACCAGCATCATTCATGCTGATTGCCATGACTTGTTCGTTGCTTTCTCGCATCAGTAGCAGAAGTGTAACAACCAGAGCAGCCACCAAGGCACAAAGAAGCAACGAAACAAGCAACCAACGCTTGTTGTGGCCAGTAGTTGGCTCTGGAATGTCCTTTTTTGTTTGGCTTTCCAAATCATCAGACGACAGTACTTGTATGGCTTCCACGGGAGGAGTCACCAACTCTGCTTCCACCAGTCTTGAGTCGTCGGCTGTGGACGCCATTGGCTCCATGGAAGGAGGTGGAGGGTCATTAATGGCAAAATGAGTCGGAGCAACGGCAAAGGCTCCAGGTGTGCTCGTGCTCGTGCTGGCGCTCGTGTGACCCCGTCCAAGTTCGTTCACGGAGGGAAGCGGAGCAATGGATCCATGTAGGTTGCCTGTCATTGGCGGCTCCATGGAAACAGGAGGGTCATTAATGGCAAAGGGTATCGGAGCAACGGCAAATGTTCCAGGTGTGCCGGTGCTCGTGTGACACCGTTGTAGCTCGTCCACAGAGGGAAGCGGAGCAATGGATCCGTATAATACTTCTGGTCCGCGGTCCTCAAACTCGGTGTTGGCGTTGCATCCTGTTCGTTCCTCTTCCGTCGTCTTGTCGTCTGCGGCATCATTCGTCGCAGCGCTTTGCTGCTGTTCTTGTTGCTTCATATCTGTAGTTTGCAATATCATGTATGAGCTATTGCTACCGTAGGTATCTTCTATTTTAGGAATCCTTTTGCTTTGGCGTGGTGTGAAGTACTAAATAGATACGTTAAGGAGCGAGGGGAAGCTAAGCTAACAGTGGTGTTGGGTTGGTGGGTGGTGTTGTGGGTGGGCGTACGGGTCGAGCAGCAATGAGGAACCAAATTAAATAAAATGTAACTGCGCGAAGCTGTGTGTTTTGGTAAGAAGATACTCTGAGAAAAAATCTTACTGGTTTTGACCTTTTGACCATTTCATCATTTCCACTGGATTCTCATTCGTGAAGGAAATCCGACCATGCCACCTGTGGCCTCACAAATAAATGTTCTATTAATAAAAAGCTCTTTACTTCCTAAGTAATGTATGTTTTACAGTTAACGCTCGCTTATATTTATTTATCTTATATTTATTCGCTCTATAATATTTATTATATCTCGAGTTCCCCCCCCCCCCAGTCACGAGTGACCGTGAATGACGTCAGTACACCCTTCGCAAATCTCGTAGCAGCAAAACAATCGCTCGCAAAACATCGCAAACGGTCCAATTCGACAGAGACATACGTGTAAATGCCAATGCATGCCAATGCATGCCGATGAGGTGCCGATGGGAGTTCGCTTGCCTGTCCATTCTCTGCCAGTCCGCGCAAATCTTCGTTCGTGGGGTTTTCATGGTGTTTTCGCGAGATTTGCGCTCCCGGGTCTAGCACCTCTTTGCGCAGATTGGCAGAGAGGAGACAAAAACAATTCTCTTAGCAACAAAACAAGTGCAAGCAAACCATAACAATTCCTCCAATCCGACCTAGACCAACATGAACGGCGCCAACATGAACGGCGCCGATTCAACCGCAACGAAGAAGAAAGGAGCGAAGAGGGGACCGAAAGCAGGTTCAAAGAACGATGTAGCCAAGGCGAAGAACAGATCTGACTGGTACAAGGCCTGCCATTCCTTTCGTACAGAGTTCAAGCACATGCAAGCCAAGTCGTTCCTGGCATCTTCCGCATCCGGATCCAAGTTCTCAGGAACGCAGTCGGAACAGCAGAGTTTTGGTCGTTACCTGAAGCAAACGCAAACGTGATGGCACTCTCCACTCGTTCTTTACTAGTGGTTAGTAGCAGTAACGCTCTATATTTAGACACACTGTTATATTTACTGGATTCCTGAATCCCCCCCTGTATATATATCTGAATGTTGACTGTACAAGTCGCTTTCCGCAACATGAAGTTCCAAGTACACCTAACGGAACACTCCAGAACCCTTGCTTGGATACAGTATTAATAGCTTTTACAGTACAGTTCAGCTGAGTACAGCAAACGTGATATCAATTAGGGGCCAGATGGGTCTATGTCATAGACGTCTGGACATCTATCTGTCTGGACGCACATCCAGATCAGCATATTAAATTTACTAGACTAGTCTAGAGTGATCTGCCCATTAAGACCCGCAGGAGATTAAGACTATTGTAATATTCTAGGCTGATACCTTAAGACTATATTATTATTATGGCTATATAGCTTAAGACCTGGCTGAAACTAGGGCATTCCAGTAGCCAAAGCAGCTACTGGAGCTGCTTTAGGCTTCAACTGTACCTGTAGCACATCAGGCTTGGACTCAATCCTGTTCTCCAATTCAATTACCAGGCTTCCCTTGGCCAATTTGGTGTCCGCTTTGTGACCCAAAGTAGACTGTCAACAGGGAAACGACTCTCGGGCTTAGTCAGGGAAGCAACAACCATGCTTTCGCCCGAGCTTCTCCTTTGCCTTTGGAGCAAGCTGTTGAGGCTTTCTGTGGTTTGGCGTTTCTTTTCCACTGCTTGCTTCTTGTGTAGCTCGTCGATCTGAGCCAAACTATCGGTGAGTATCTGCTTGTTTTTCAATGTCAGCAAGGCCTTTTCATCATTGACCAAGGCAGCGTGATTCTTAACCTTGCCACTCCCATCCAGTCTCCTCCTGGCAGCTTTCATCTTGTTCGTTGCCACCACATTCTTATGAATAATCTTTCTCTTGGCCGCCACCGTCTCGACTGCTCCGGACAGCTTCTTCCGATTCTGCTCCGACATGGTCCCTATCATGATCGTAATCCTCTTCGTAATGGCCATCTTGAGAGGAACGAGTGTCGGTAGACGAACGATAAAAGAGATGAACGAGTGTCGGTAGACGAACGATAAAAGAAGGAGTGTCGATAGAGGTGCTTCGATAGAGGTGCTTCGATAGAGGTGCTTTATGCATGTGCTTTATGCATGTGCGAAGAGCCAAAGAGGTGCTTCGCACCTCTACTACGGGAGCGAAGCAACGATCGATAGAGGTGCGAAAGATACCGCGTACCACGGAGTTTCACTCGATAGAGGTGCGTACGTAGGATCCTACGTAGATTCAGTACTAGAGGCACGACTGACGTCATCGGTCTTAATCTGCAGAGAAAAAGAATTCGTGTCAGTTGGGTGGATATCTTCAACCGCCCGTAACTCCACCAATAAGTACACTATGAGGCTGCGAGATTTATGGCATACTCAACTACATGTGTTCTATCGATTCCCCTCTTTACATGTACTATATTCGATATACAGACCTGAAGAGAATATTCCGCGGAATGGTCGGTCTTAATACCCAGATCACTCTACTCAGAGCTCAGAGTTCAATGTAGATGTAGCCAGAGCTACCCCATACCCCAGAGATACTGGTACCAGGCAGTACGATACAGTACCAGCACCTTGAGGTAAATTGGCTTGAAAGGTTGAAATAGCTTGGTAAAAATTCAAAAACAAATAATTTTGCTGAAAATGATTATGACTTGGAACAGAAAGGATCTCTGGATTAGGATCAACGCCTTTAACTCCTAGTAGGATCACTGGCTTCCAACTGGCTTCCACAGAAATAAAAGCCAAGTTTTCCTAAAAACAGAAGCCAATGATCCAAGGGGTTAAAGGTTAAACCCAGCCTTCTTTTCTGTTCCAGGATGACTTTACTATACCATTATCAGTACAAGCATTTTTCCAGCTGGAACAACACAGAAGACTGGCTTTGTTCCCAAATAAATATGCTTTTAAAAACAGGCTTCAGAAACCAGTGATCTGGGCTTTAAAGCCAGTGTTCCGATTAATAAGCCAGTAATCTTCTTGGATCCTACCAAGATGCAAATTCAAAATTGCTTATTGGCTTTTTGGAACTCGAGTTTTGCAAACGCACCAACAAGTACGACAACTACAAGCAAGGTTTGGCAATCGATCGACGGAAATAATGGAGGGTCCACGGCAGCTGTCTGTCTCCTGGTCCGATCATGCGCATGGAGAAACCGGGCAAAAAGTACGGATTGGTGCTGATAGTGGATCGGGAAACCCCGGCAACAACATGCATGGTCCTCAAGTGGTGGGGTCTGGCAATGTCGATGATATTAGCTACTCGGTATGGTATGTGAAAAAGAACTCCTGTGCCTTTTACGAATACGCCATCCCGTCCCATTACATGGGAAGTACCGTACCAACTGGAATCATCCGCATTTACACTATCAGACAATCCTCTGGGTCGAGCCTTTGGATTCTTGATTATTATTGAGGACGGTCCCGAAGAGTACTGTACACTGACGATGACTCCGTTATCATTGTACGACTCTTGACGCTTGACGACTCGGATACATCCCCGCATATTAGTACTCTTCTTTGCTTTTAAGCCTGGCCCTCGCTGGCTTCCATAGATAATCTGGGTCCCTGCTGGCTCATGATGAGGCCTTTCGTCTCTGAATCATTGCTTCCTCCTTTCGCCCCTCTCTTGTCCCGTTGCCCCCATTTGCTCTGCTCCCCTGCTCCCTGCCCTTACCTTGTGATTCCCCACCACACCACCACAGGTTTCCTGCTCTGCCTAGCTTAGCCCTCCTCACCTCTTTTAAAATAACTACCTAGACTACTCTAACCCCCTGATCATAGTATTCATCAACGAGGACAGCTTGCGGATTGCGGACGGTGCTGAGACGATTTGGCACATTAATTGCCATCTTTGAAGGCTTAAGCGTACGTTATCTCCACAGCTGGCCTGCGATGCATACCGGTACAGGCATCCTACCATTATGTAGCGACCGAGCTTCTGAATTTTTATTAATTAAGAAGATCGACGAGAAATGGGGTTGAAGTGACCGATCACATGCTTGCAATGAAAGGTGGTGTCCTTTAAAACCAACATCCGTCATGAACATGCAAGGCTCCAATACCATCGTCCATCCTTGGCTATCCAGCTTCTAATTTTAAATAAGCGACCGAAAGCAAAACCAATGAAACAACAAAGAAACCAACAAACTAACCAGTTGCTGGATTTGAAAAGCACCAGCTTTTAGCCCTGGGAGCGCCAAATCGATCATGCCACTTCGGCCCCTACTACTACTGCTCCAACTTTGGATCACACTCGTCAACGAATGACCGAAGAAAGAGCTGCTAAAGAAGCCTCCAGAGCTAGCATGCACCATGCTACTGGAACTGGTACTACTGGTATAGTTGCTAGCGGCATTCCTGGAGCTGTTTTGGAGAGGAGTCAAAAGAGACAAAAAGAGGCCAAACGAGCTACTACAGATGGACTGGTGGATAGCATGGATGACAGGAAGCCACCCCCTTCAGCAACTGCCACACGTGGACTCAAGAGGTCTGTGGAAGAAATGGCTGCTAAGGATGCCGCTCGACGTAGTAGCACTGGGAGTGGACTGCTGGATAGCACGGATGACAGGAAGCCACCCCCGTCAGCAACTGCCACACGTGGACTCAAGAG